ATTAGCGGTATGATGAATGAATAATAATATTTTATGGCCAACACAAGATTTATTACTTCATTTAATTATGATCTATATGTTTGTATTCGATTAATAACAACTAAATTACTATTTTATCTTAATGGATCGACAAATTACGATTTCGCACAAATAGCTGTTTTACGACACTGACAGAATGTTTGACATTCAGTTTTGGCATCTATTATTTAGTTCAGAAACTTCATTAGACTAGATGCGTTTTTCAAATATTGTTTATTTTAGCTACACTCCATATAGCGAAAACACAATAATAGATTAGTTACAATTATAATGGCAATTTATTAATTTACTGGTATCATACCTATATTATTTCATTCGTACTTAACAAATAATAATATTTAACTATGATAAACTCTTGATAGTTTCTGAACGTCAGTTACATAATGGAGTGTTAGAAAACAAAGGATGAGCAGAGAATGCGGTCACAGTATGATATAAATAAAAAAGGAAGTATTGGTTGAATAGATACATTTATTGTGTTTCAGAGCCATTCGCTTCTACGGGACTAACATAACATTTTCCTTCAGCGTGTATAGCATCCAGCACACTACTCATAGTCGTTTTCAAAACTCTATATTCTTCTAGCGCTTTAGCGCATAATTCGCCTTCAGGGGAGTTGCCTGGCTCAATAAAGAGCATTTCTAAAGACCTCTTCAAATATTTCTCAGCCAACATTAATTCATCCTGTAACCAACCACAAACATACTTCAGATCACTCTGCGGATGGGTTAATCTAAATTTAACCACACACGTTAGGCTAACGAATTCTCACCATATACGCTGTGCCCGTAATTTCTCGGCCGTCAAAGAGCTTTTTCGCCAACTGTACCATTGCGGCATGAAGTTCGTACAGCGTGATCGCTGCAAGGCGAAGATTAAAATATTTAAACCTTAACTGGTAGGTGATAAAGTTCATTTTAATAACTATTCAGTTATTTTATTACCTTTCGTTCTAGATATTCCAGGGCAAAGAATTTCAAGCACAGGAAGTATTTCTTTGCAGAGTTCCATTTTTCGTCTCATTAATTTCTTTGTGGGTCTCGGCTCTCTGTTAATAGTGTCTCTCAGTACACCAGCAAGCCGTTGTTTGGCTTCCAGCAGTAGGTAGTGGTTAGGAGCAAGTATCAGCGAAACATTTCTAATGTATTCTTCGAGCTCTTTCTCATCTTTCTTGTCTGTGAATAAATAAAAATTATATTAGGGTTGAAAGTAGGTAATTGAACTATAAAAAACATTTCTAATGGAGATTCACACCTCAAGTGTTTCGATCTTTGTTTTAGTGCAACTATAAATGCTGGAGAATGTTAAATTAGTTTAATAAAAGTAAATAAAGCATTCTCGGCGGTCTCGCGTTACAAGCCCTAAAGCTAACAAGCAACAGTTTAGATACCTACTTATAACTCCAAACTTATCCATGCAGCATTGAACTTTGTATCCAATATTTGTGTCCTCAAAAGTTTTGCTGCAGTTGTTACAAGTCCATTCTCCAGGAGTACTGCGCGACACGTAGCCGGTTTTACATTCAGGACACATGACGGAGCTCATGTAGGTCCCAATCTCTGTGGCATCGGCACATCTACGACAGCTGCACTTGAAATATTTACCGATCAATAAATGCTGTTGGCGAATGGATGTGCCCTAAAATCAAAGTAAAAATTTTGCACTTTCTCTTAGAGAACAGAAGTCTTTAAAGTTATGTTGGTGGTGCATAGCATCTAATATGCAATCGTATTTAGTATTGGACACCACTGTTACCACTGCTAAGAATGAAGGGACATAATGGACAAAATGTTGCAATAGTGATTTTTACCTTCAAGGGATCCGTGTAATTATAGAAAATGGGTTCTCCCTTATTAATGTTAGTGCTAGCGTGGCAAACCAACAGATTGTTGTCGTTTATCGACATGTGGGTGTTACCCACGCAATCATGCGCAAGTAGCGCAGCTTTCAAGTAGACTCCGCGCAAAACTTCTGCGCATCCGAGAGCTGGGAGGGGCGGGCCACGAACTTCGAAACTGTTCACATCAATAACTGCGCAAATCTTTTGGATTAATTCAGAGTCCGGTATATCGTCCATGATGCTGAGAGACTGGATGAACTAAAATCGAAATAAGAGAAAACCTTTAAATGAAGCAGTCAACTAATTAGAATAAGTTTGTTGATCTTTCAATTTATATTGTTTCACCTTGACTGTATTTTCCGAAAATTCCCAAATTTTAGTGCCCTTTCTTTCTTCCAAATGAGTTTCCATTTCCATGAACTCCTTCCAAGCTGCAGGATCAGTGGTTTTTTTCATAAAAGCACGCAATGCTAAAAGAGACCCGACATTTTGAACCATCGTCATCGGGTGTAATCCATTGGTCAGTTTAATACTCCTGAAGAAATCGCATTCCATATCGGAGTGCCATGCTGAAAACCAAGAAATACCCTAAGTATTTCACTTGCTGTTGTCTTGGACATCCATGTACTTACAATCACTAATATAAGTAGGTGGGTGCCTAGGTCCATAAAAAATAAGTTAAAAACTAGGCTATCGTAAGGATCAGATTTGTTTCAGGATGGTATTGGCCTTGAAAGTCTATGGCCTGGTACCTTTTCGCTAGCAACTTTGCCCGGACAGACACACTGTATTGTTTAAACACCTAATATTTTTAAATAACTGAAAAACAGGGTTGGTATTGGTACGTACTCTTGTGTAGTTGTTCAGGGCAACCCTCTCCGGGACATATCGGAGCAACTGCGCATTTCTTACAGACAACAAACTTGCTCAGTAAAGGCAAGTAGCAGTTGAAGCATACGAGCGAGCTGTCGCTGTTGGGCCCCAGAACAAACGGCTCATCCGAGAAGATTGTCTCGCCTGCCTTCAAATCTTTCGCGGCAACTATGTATCTATAAGACATTAAAATTATTTCAACCTTTAAAATGCTGAATGGAATATTTCTCGAATACTTACATCCGTTGTTTACCAATGCGTTACTGAATAAGAAACATCTGTGTTATGTATTTAATGAAACATTACATTTGCAAACATCAACTATGTTATGAATACCTATTCATCTCATCATCATCATCATACCTACAGAAGACTAGCTTACACGAAAGTTCAGTTTATAGTCATCGATAGATAACTATAGAAATAGCAAATAATTTAAAAATATGAGAAGAGAGGGAGATAAATCACTGCTCTTACGTTTAATAAATAGGTAAGACCACGCAGTTGAAATGCTTATAATCTATTTATACTTACAAATAAAATTAACACGAATTCTTTGACTTAAAACAAACAAAGTTGTAACTCGGTCATAATTCGTATTTCAGTAGTAGGTACTAGTCGGATACTTCTCAAATTGTGAGGAAAGTTCCCTATCTACTATAAATTCACAGCTCACGTTGCGAAGTGCGAACGCTATGCTGTGTTACTGGGCGCATGGATATTGGATATCATAAATCAAACTATAGGCTCAGAGATATTAACTGCAACATAAAACAGGTGAAATACCGTCCCAGAGACGTGACAAAATGTAAATTAACTAAAATCGCGGGTTACTCACGTGAATATATTGAGAAAAGCTATACTAGTTTCGAACCACAGAGGGGTTCTTCCTCATGAGCAGCGTGCGCGACGTTGCCGCGACCGCGCACGATGCAAGCGAGTAACCCGCGATTTTAAATGATTTACTAAAAAAATGTGACAAAATGTAAGTATTTTATTAATTAAAACTTTGTGTTATAACATTTGATGTTTATATGTGCACTTGGACACTGGTAGGTAGATACCTATCATCATCCCCATCGTCAGATCCCTCTTTAAGACATGGATTAACGAGTATAATTTTATGTTTTAGGCTTACTCACGTAACTGTCGCCCTAACAGACGCGACGAGGCGACTGTCGCGCTGCGCTGCCGGAATGCTGCTCGTGAATATGAGCCTCTAGCATGGCTTGAAACTAGTCGAGTTTCTCGTCAAACAGTTACGTGAGTAAGCCGCAACCATAATAATTTGAATAAGCTTTTGTTTTTTTTTTATTAAATAGTTTTATTATTCTCCACGGACTCGTCAATCGTTCACAATTCGACTGTATGTATTTTTTCTTCTTTATAGTCAATACTTATTAATTATTGTTTGGTTTAATGGCAAGCTTTTATTTTAATTGTTAGTGTCAGCAATAGGTAAGTACTACTTACACAACACATAACACATTTGCAATGCCTTTAGTAAAACATAAAGCCCCCTAAATCAACTTTGCCAACTTGTAGTACCACTTTAATACCTCGTTATAGTATAGCTTCTTAAAAAATAAGGACCGGAATTTGGTTGTAGATTATAGAACAACACAAAACACCATCGTTAATATACCTACAACTAGACAGTGCATTCGTTTTATTATTGTCTCAGCTCAGAACGTATCGGTCTAAATAAATCACAAATGTCGTCTTACGTCCGGGTTCGGATAGGTCAGTGTTCTCTATTCTTCTAACACACATTTATTGTCGCAATATACTTATAGGTAAATTAATTACACACAGGAATTTCGACACCGTCTTTTACACACTTCTATTTAAGTAGTAGAGGACAATTATTTCCCTCAAGTAATAAATTAATGCATGCTAGGATTTTTCCACATCATATAACTCCTTGTAAGGACTAAACACACCTGCCGAATTTATCCGAATGTCGCAGTTCGTATCGTGCGTTCAGTGGCGCGGTCATGGTGCCGACTCCGTACAATATGACCGCAGGTGCGCACCGACCGGTAACACAGACGCGAGTAACTAAACACTCGCCGTATTTATAGCCGATACTCTATTTATAGCCCTATTACTCTTCCTCGACGCAAAATTCTGACAGCCGATGCTTTGATTTCTTACTCAGTCCATTGTTTTATGTCCGCACTGACGTTCGTAAAAATGGTGATATAGTTTAATTTTAGTAATAAAATGCCAAAAATTAAAAGAACCATTACATTTATTATGGATATTTACAATTTACTACCTTAGTACAAAGGTAATGCTTATGACTAGTAAACTATTTATTTACAACAACATTATGTACATGTCTATAAAAACAATGATATAAAAATCTGAATTCTCTTAAATAATATTGTTTTAGTCCATATTTCAATGGATTATATTATTAAAAAATTCATAATTTTAATTGATGTATGAATCGCAAAATGTATTTACAACAGTCTTGTTAAAGCGATACAAGTGACCTTACCTAATGGTTAGTTCATCATACTATTTATACAATTTTATATTATATGTCACAAATAAGATTTGCTCTACAGTATTCATCAAATTATTTGAAACAAATAAATCATAGTCATTGTTTCGTTTTAAAAACGTAATCACACTGTGATTTTCTCCCGAGTTGTGGGTATATTTACTTTTACAAACGTCAATTTCACATACACTTCACATCCAGACAATAATTTGTGAACCATTTAAAGAATCGAACCCGCGACATGTAGCACAAGAGCCAGGCTCCAAGCGTGCAGTCTAAATTATCATTGTTTTCGCTTGAGATTTGTCATCCTACGTATTGTATCAGTTAAAAAGTCATGTATATTCCGCAAACTTGCACCAGTTACTGTATGCTATGCTGGCCCCTGAAAAAAATAAAAGCATTATTTAATTTGGGAAATAATTCACTAATTAATTAATTATGAAGTTCTACAACATAACCATCGTAATATAAATTAACGCGATCGGTGGCGGTGATATACACACAGATTTTGATCGTGAAAATTACCATGTAAGCTACCTAACTAAGACACAGTCGGTACTTACATCATCGAGTACAGAGAGCGAAGTAGACTGGTGGGAAGCACTGATGATGTCCTGCAGACAGCGCGCGAACTCCTCGATGACGTCACGCATGGGGTCGGGCTCGGGGCGCGGCTCCAGGCTGGCGCCCGCCCCCGCGGCCGCGCCCCCGTCGCCCGCGCCCCCGTCCCCCTCCACGCCGGCCGCCAGCAGACACTGGCACACTGCCTCTATCACCTCCGATGTCATGAAGCTGCACGGTTGCCTGCCAAATACCAAATAAACTTTATCATACATAATAGTCCACGAAATCTATGACCGTACACAAAAACACACCACGAAATTATATCAACTCGTACATATGTGTAGCGAACATATAAATCAAAAAAGAAAACTATTAATTTACGGCCAAAATTTAAAAAAATTTTGTATGGAGATTCTGTTAAAGTATACATTTCCGGCGTTAGTCTATTTGCCATTCACTTAAAAAACAACCCATGAATATAATATACTGACTTGACTTGTCCGATGGCTGGTGGTCTGAACATGGGGTCGGACAGTTTGTCCCTGAGCCGCATGGCATCCCGTCGCCTCTCCAACGTCTCCTCCACGTTGCGACACCCCACACACTTGCACATCGACGTACACGCTATCTTTGCCTGAAGTAACAAATATATATGAGAAAAATGACTTTTTATTTAAAAAATGTACATCCATATTATTCGAATGTTTCTTCTTACCTCATAACATTCACAATAGTTTTTGAGACAGCCACTTCTTTTACAGTTACACCCTTTGTTGTGCCTTCTTATAATGTCTGGACCACCAGTTTTCGATTTACCTATCTTAGGCCTGTGGATGTTATAATTAAAGCATTAAAAACATAATTATGCAGGTACACAAAATTGTAACAATGAATTCAGTACTTAGCATTTACAAGCTAAGGCATAAGTACTGCAAAATACTAGTATACTTGCAAAATGTTTACCTAAAAGCATTAGGATTCCTGTCGAGACAGGCCCTGATAGCCTTTTGTCTGAGCTCTTCATTCTCCAGGTTGTTGTGACAGTTGTTACAGTTGCAGCGGTTGCAAAACTCGCCGTTCGCGAAACAGTCGCAGTACAACTTGAGACATTGCGACTTGGTGCAGTTACACGCCTTACGAGGCCTGAGCCCCAAATCACCGGACACTAAATCTGAAATAACCAAATACATGAGTGAGTTTTGCCCAGAGCCCAAAGGCCATTTATTTTTTTCGGTTTCTCTAGCTAGAGATTCTTAATTTCAATTATACTGAACCCCTTACCGCTTTCTGAGAGAGCTTGAGATGCTTTTGGTGAGAGGTAAGGCAAGACTTCATGTTCTATAGTGGTAAAACTCCTCTCGTCCTGAAAAACAAAACATTACGAAATAAAAACTATGCCCTTTGACTATTTAATGAACCTATTTTATGGAAATTCTTTGAATTTACTTCTCCAGACATAATAATGATCTACGTTATTTTTTTCGTGGAATGCATTCTCTTGGCAACACTGGAAATACTACATTCTTTTTTGTCTCTAAATATGAGTTAAAAAAATGAGTCCAATATACAATTACCCTCATCTGCTTGTTGAAACTGGAAGGTATGACGATAAGTGGATGTTCATCCGACCTGTGGCTACTGTCGTGGTCCATGCTGTTCGTATTCTCATCCTCTGCTGAAGACTAGAAAACAAAAAATCATTAGCACATTTTTATTAACTGTATTAATCGTAAATTGACCATTTTTTGTGGCTTAAAACTGCGTTATTTCTTAGTTATTATTAACTAATATTTTACTATCTGAATGAAAAACGACAAAATAATAATAATACTTTAACATAATTGTAAGTTTGATAAAATTACACAAACCTGTTGCCTCTCAAAGTCAATTTCAATTTCGTGTACGCCGTGGTTGTCTTGAGAGTCTTCACCCACGGTGTCGGCAATGAGGGCTCTCAGCGCGGCTTTGGACTCTCTTTCGTCTTCACTTCGATCAGCTTCTCGTTCAATTTCCCGGTCACCAGAATGGTCGAACGCATCATTCCCTGACACATCCACTTCGTCATTGGTACTGCCACCATCTAAAAGGTCTGTCACTTCCTCCAAGTTGTGTTCAGCCATCGGTGATAATGGCGCTAGTAAGCTTTGTGACGAACGGGCTGACTGTTGCTGTAACTGAAAACATTGTATATGTTTGTTTAGCCAGAACAAAGTATGTGCATTTCTTAGTTTATTACTTATGATCCTCCTTATCAAGACAAGACTTTCTACCTATATTAAATTGATCGACGCGCCTACATGCCGTAAGATACGTTCATACTTTTTGATGTCAAATTGACACTAGCTGAACTACAGGCTAACGTTTTATATTAAGTACATTTAAAATATAATAAGAAACAAGACAGAGGGCGCCTCAAAGTTAGATAATTAGAAGATTAGTATTAGCAGATAAAATATAAAACTGCTATAATGTTTATGCGAATATTTGCTATGAAAAAACTGAATAGTGTACTTTAATTTGCACTATAATGTTATATCGTATTTTATTCAGAAGCTACAAAATGTTTAACATTGGTATTTTGAAAGATGCGTTTGGCTATTGGCTGAAATATTATTACACCCATTACACCACGCTATAAAGTAAAGTAAGCAATTTCCACATACCTGAACAGTTTGCGCCGGTTTCACAGTACCCGGAGCTATTCGTACCAACTTTTTCGGCTTCGTAGTAACTGCACAACAAATACAATATTATGTTAGCTCCCCCACAATCAGCAAACGACACAGCTTCTGAGTTCTGACAACTGACTTATAATTTAAATTAATTCCAAACTAAGTTCCATGTTTAATAATTTTCAAAATGTTGTTTTAAATAGAGAAACATTTCGTAATTAGAGTTGTGTGTCAATATTATTTGAATTTGCCGTTTTCCAATTTCTAAAATGATTATTTTTTACAGGTGTCACACAGCCACACAGTGATAACTGAATGAGAGAGTGAAGTATTGGTTTTTTTTTAATTTGGTATAATGATCGAATGAATTTACTTTTTGCTGTCGTACTTCCAGTGAGTACCAGTGGGGGTGGCTGGCCACTGTCCATTTTCTCTGCAGTCATCTGAATGAGGTTACCTGCAAGGAACATGTTGCTTGTCAGTACTCTTCAGAATATTTTGTAAAAGTAAGTAAAATAGAATGTTATCAATTACCTAGATTACCTTTACTATCACTTAGGACGAAGCTTTTGGAGGGTGCAGCCACAGCAGAAGTAGATCCTTTTAAGAATTGCTTCTGTGTTGCGGTTATAGGGTTGGTTATCAGTCGAATGTATTGAACCTGTTAGAAGAAACACCTATATTTTAAAATATATGCAAAGATAATCTGTTCTCAATGTAATGTGGAGATTCTTTGATATTTATATTGTATGTATTTATAATTTTATATATAAAAAGGTTGTCAAATAAACTTACGCCTTTCCCAGGAACATTGATTTGATGTATTTGCGATCGTTGTCCTTGTATCACTACATTACCATCCTTCTTTATCTGGAAGACAAAATATTTATTTCATCAGGAAGTGCATAATTAATGTTTTATTATTTAATTATAACTATTAATTATTAAATTTGTTAAAAGGAAAAGGCATTACACATCTGTCATGGTTTCTATTTATTTATTCTATGGGTTTCTAGCTCATCAGTATGTATTATATATGACTGACTACATTTGTTTATTAAATATTTCTCAACAATTTCACATACCTGTGCTGTTTTAGGAGGTGCCGTAGTCTTCAGTATAACATTTTGACTTGGGTTCGCCGTTATAACTACCTTCTTGGTAGTAGTGGCAACTGTAACGACAAAACGTTAGAAATATAATATTTTTTTCTTTTCTGGAGTTTATAAATATTTTGAGATAGTAGAACTTCTCATCAAAATATCATGCAATCTGTTCCCTAAGAGGTATGCAGTTGCAGAGTTGTAGAGGTGCTCATACTACACAATACACATATTAAGAAACTCATTTAAAACAAAACAACAATAAATTAAAAAGCTTGCCTGGTGTCGTCGCCGGTGCGATGGTAGATGTAGGCGACTTAATGGCTATTAATTGTTTCTTCGCGAATTTCACCCCTTGGTTTGTTGGAGACGCCATTATCACCTATAATTCAATAGAAATGTTTTAACAGAAGACTTGTTACTTAATAAAATTTACGATTTATGTTTACGATTTCCTTACTTTACTTTGTTTTTTTTGTACAACTATAAAATTAATATTGGATTGACTGAACTAATCAGAATCTATTTAAGAGGTGGATAAAATTAACTTCTAACAACTTTATTTACTGAATTCTGCCAACAACTACAACAAAAATGATAATAACAAAGATATAGCGTGCTTACCTTATTAGTTCCTATAGAGATGGGTACAGTTTTCTGTTGTATAACATAACGAGTCTGCAAATTGGCAGCGGACGAGGAAGGAAGCAGTTTAGTTAAGACAGCGGCCTGGTTTGCAGGGTCTGTGTTAGATTGACCTGTACAAGTAAGAACTTTGTTACAATTTAAGTTTAAAGATATTAAACAGAAATGCCGCTAATCACGCATCTTTAATCAATAATTTTATTGTTGACATTGTCAAAGGGTTATCGGTGACTTTTTTGTTCCTATGTCTAGTCTGCACGGCTATTTACTATGCATGTAAGAAAATAGAGAGTGATTCAGTACAGAGTCAGTAGCCACAGGTTGGCTACTGAACCGAGCAATAGTTACAGATGTGGCTTGATTAATAATTATATGTCTGTGTCTATCTTTGTTTTCTTACTTACATACTAAATAAATGTGCTGATTGACTGCAAAAAATAAAGTACAGTCAAAGGTCAAAAGTCCGCTGCCACCGTGAGTGATGTTCACTCGGCAATGCGTAAGTAATTTCATATTAATGTGCATAAAAACGCGTGCGTACACATAAACACACGCACGCGTACGCACACGGATACAAATATGAGTGTGCATGTGTGTATAAGCGCTGCAGCGCAATCGATTTTTTTTAAGGGGGAAAATCATCGATGACTGCTCCCGCCTGGGTGAGGCGGGAGGGAGTGTCAGACTCTTACTGACTAAAAACCACCCCGTTCCTTCTCCTGCACGTCGAGCCGGAGCCCCGGTTACCCGTTAGGTTCTCCGCGACAGCAGTGCAACCGATAGTAGTCTTACGGTGGCAGTAGACTTTTGACCTTTGACTTACATCATCCTTAGTTAGGTGTTAACGGACAAAGTTATAGCCATCCAAGAGATACTATTTTATTCTACATCACTTTAACAAATGTACATATTTTTAAGCATTATCTAATTATTATATGCAATCTAGATTTACCAACACATACCTTGAACAATAACTTTCGCTAACACAGGCTTCTGAGTATTGCCGCTGCTGACATTTTTAATAAGTTCCGCCTAGAAATGGAAACAACATTAATAGACACAGTTACTTACTAATAGTTAGTTACTATACATACCATTCATATATCTTGTCATTTTACCTGGTCACTGCTCGCTCGCACATATTGTACTGGCAGTCCCGAGCCAGATGTAACTAGTTTGATTTTCTGCCCACCACTTGCAGGAACCATCACTAGTTGCTTTCCTATTTGAGCTGGAATTATAAGGTTGCTTATAAATCAGAGAAAGTAGTAGGAGTAAATTTGTGTACAACTGACAAAAATTGTTAATAGTAAATATCTAGCATAATAATTAAATATTACAAAAACAACTCACTTAAAAACGAGTTTCCACTTTTGGTCCCACCCTGTATTACACTAGAGAGTGACATTTTCTTAACTACGTTGGCATTCTTTGTTGTGACGAGGGCGACAGGTTTTGGTGCTATTGCATATTGCTTCCCTGATGAGAAGGTAGCTGTGGACATTGGCAGCCCTGAAGGTACCAACTTAGGCGGCTTTGGAGCTATGGGCACTTGCCGTGGCGGGTTACTTGTGACCACTGTCTCATGCTTCTTGCGTGGTATTGCAGCCTGGAAACATTTTGTTTTGGAATTAAAGCTGGTTTATTAATCTAGTAGTAATATGAGTAAACTGCTGAACACAATATGGTTTTGAGTTTGATATGTTATAAATATTGTGTAATTTTCAGTTTCAGCAATGTAAAATGTACATGTATGGTATTACCGAAGAAGTGATTAGTTATTTCAGAGGACTAAAAACCTTAAAATATTCGTAAAAAGGTTTTGTATTGCAAAATAGACAAAACATTTTTAGGTGATATTTTTCATAAACAAACTTTATACATAAAAGAACAATTTTTATATTGTAGATCAAAAACGTACCTTAACTGCAATGTATTTAGGTTGGGTATGCGTCGTTGTAACATCTTGTGTCATACTATGAGGAATATCTGGTTCAAATTGCAAGTCGATCATGGACTCCTCTTGAGCTTGCATCACATTCAGACCCTGGAAATGTTCAATAATTATTCTAGTATTTATTTTACAATACAATCTTAACCACATATATAAAGCTGAAGAGATTTTTCGTTTGTTGGAACATGCTAATCTCCAGAACTACTGATTTGATTTGAATAAATCATTTTGTGCTGGATAGTGCATTTATCGAGGAAAGTTTTATGTGAAAAGATCAATCTATGAGCCAAGGATCTAGCCAACCAGCGAGTAAATATTTATATCAGTATTTATATCAATACAAAATTGTCCCAAGTCTTTTAAAAGGTATAGAAATCTACATTTAATTGGGAACACACCCTACACATAAACAATTAATATATTTACTAACATGAATCATCCACAACTTTAAAATATTTCTATACTTACATGTACTTCATCCAATCCACTTGTTTCTGTTACAGAATCATCTTGTACAGAATACTCTTGCAATGTGTACTGGTCATTCATAAAATCTGAAACTAGACAAAAACGTAATTACTTGGGATACACAGTCAGGTAAAGTTACTTTACAACTACCTAAACACACAATTTCAACATTTAAGAAATACATTTAAGAAAAACACGTAATTTCAAGTTATATGAATGAACTTTAATAAAAGAATTTATGATTGACTAGGATTGATCTGGTGGCTAGTCAACCTATCCTTTTTACTTCTTCAACTTTATTTCATTGTCATGACGAAAATCCAATCAATAAATTTGACGGATTTGAGCAAGTTGATCCATACAACGGATTAGTTGAATAAAGTTCTTGTCGGCGCATCTCTAACTATATTATTACATCATTTTACTTACGTATTAAAATTATTTGCAAATGGTGTATGGTTACTGAGTTACCACAATGCATAATAAATTAACATGCAGAGGTATATTTTTAACAAACAAATCATCCTTATTCATATCACTGACATTTAACACTATCTGACCTTCAGACATAAGCCATTATTTAGGAACTATATAATTTCAATGTCAAGTGATTAGTTTATTAATACATCAATCAGAATTATCTAAATGGTATTGTAATCACATCACTCCTGGTCTAAAAGAGATAGATGTATACAAATATTTAGGATAGATATCACAAACTAGGATAGATATTAAAGTATAACTGGGTTTTTAAAATTCTCAGTAGTAGCACGGAGTCTGGAATTGTGCCCGGTATATGGCAATAGACTCACCCCCTATTACATGGGACTCATAACATAAATGGGGAAAAGTGGATGTTATATTGTACAGTGGCATAATGTGCACCTCTGCCTACCCCTTCAGGGATAAAAGGCGTGATGTTATGTATATCACAAACTCTTCTTTGCAAATATGTATGGAACTAATATGTTACAGTTACATTAAACTTTTTATTAGAATGTAAGTTTGTTACTTTGTCATGCAAGAACTAAATGGAAATGAATGAAATCTGGTGCAATGGAATTAGTCTGGAATAACACATATACTTTAAAAAAAAAAAAGAAGTTACCCCAAACTAGGATTTATTACTGTCGTGGGTGCATTTACAAATATACAACTTCACATTTACATGACCATTACAGACCCATAACAACAATCTGTGATTCACACAAAGAGTTGCTCCGTGCGGGAATTGAACCCGCAAAATGTTGTGTGGCAGCCGTGCAGTTATTCCTTTACTATTTAAGTAATGGATGAATCTCTTGCCAGGTTAGAAAGAGTATAATTTAAATATGACAGTATCAAAGGACAAAATTACCTATAATCTCTTCAGTGCCAGTGTCCATGAGCATCTGTTGTTCTTCAATACTCTCAAATTCCATTGGAATATCTGGTTCATGACCAGTTGTTTCTAAGGGTATGTCTTCTTGACTCACTACCCCAGCCTCGTGGTCAAAATCCATCTGAAAATTCATAATTAGGGAATAGATAATTGAATTATATTAGAGAAAGTAGCAAAATTAGTAAAAGTTGCATCTATAGACGAACTTATAGTGACTCGACAGAATCATTTGCATTTTTTGGCTTTTTCCCAATTATGTTCCAGTCAGTGTTGAATGTGCAAGAAAAGTATGAATTAAACTTTATAGATGGAGGAATTGCCATAGGCCCCTTTCAGACACTCTTGGTCAGACCGACTGGTAGATTCCTTGGGTTTCTAACTTGGTATAGCAGCACTAAAGTCTCATTGCTAATAGAAATTTGACCATCCTGGAATAATTACAATGACCAAGATAATGTTACAATTCTATATTACCAGTACTGTCTTAGTACTTATAATATCTGCATCTATGTTTTAGAAACTGAAAATTATTATTATTATGGAGTTTATATTAATGAACCTTGTGCAGTTTCACAAGCAATAATGATCAGTCTCTGATTGGAACATATTTACATTCTTTAAGTAGTCTGCAACAGCACAAATTAGCTCCGACAATAATTTTTAGTATCATCTCATATGTTTCCCTGTTGATACACTCTTTAGCAAGTCTAAGTAGGCTAAATGAAGATTGATAGGTATACTAGACTGGACAACTAAAAAAATTTATGGGACTGTGTTTCTGATGATAATTATTTGGTTTGTTTAGCTTCTTTATAGACTCAACATGCCTATAGAGTAGAAAGATAATCAAAATGTTTTGCAATCCATAGTTATTGAAAACTCAATGAATATTTGTTTAGTTTCCATACTATGTCCAAAGTCATGAATAATAACATGACATAAACACAAATAGAGCACGAAACTGAAATACTGTGTGTTTCTAGTTGCTTTCCGGCTACTTTTCACTCTATATTGCAAGAAGAACAGAAAGATTAAAGTAAATAAACTATTCTAAGACTAAACTCTACTTACATTGCCCATAGCACTTTCCAAGTTTAAAGAGTCGTCCAAATTGTGTTCCATGGTAAGGCTTTAAACACTAAAGTCCTTCAATATTTCACACACAATAAAATGTATTTAAACACCACTAAACTGGTTCAAAATCATCAAAAACATTTGGGAGTTCAAAAGAGGCCGCCATTTTATAAGTTGTCAAATTCTGCCGACAAGCCTTTCGAAGTCTCTCAAGTCGCCACGGTTGAAAACAAATCGACACAAACATAAAACGATAATGGCGGGTAAAAGTCTTCCACACAAACTGTAATTATTAATTATAAACAAAGAACACCAATAATACTTCAGTTTGTAGTGCTTTTTACGCGCCTAAAACAAAGAATTTTCCCTAAAAATGTAGTAAAAGCGAGAAAAATTCTAATGGCGCTTCTTTCAATTTTTTGATGTCACAATGTCGCCAACTTCAGAAAACAAAAATTGATCGATTTGGCATGTAATCGATTAGAATGTTACTAATTGTTATGTTTTTAATGTATAGTTTTTTGTAGTAAATAACATTAATTATGTCCTATTAAATAGGGCACCAAATATCAGTGCCAAATTTAAAATAACTCTTTTTAGAATACTTATCATATTTAAAAACACTAATATTTAATATTTCATGATTAAAAACACAAAATTATTATTTATTTAATATTGTAAAGGTACTACGTGTGATGTGATTTTAAAATTACGTTAAATGTTGTAATTAAAATGTTTTTATCACGTGTTCGATGTTCAGTTCAATTTCAATCATAAACACTATCCAAACTGTTTACAATCGACTAAACAAAAACCGTAAATTAGCTCATTTGTGAAGATTTTTTTATCATTATATATTGGCTTTTTATTTACAGATAATAAAAACGTAAATAAAATATATACTGACTCTAAATATGTACAACGTAGGCTAAATAATTAAAATAAAACAGGTAGAGAAGAATTTCTTCTATAATCAAATTGGCTGTCAACTGTCAAGTGTCATTAATGTCATAAATTTTGTGCCGGATTTTGATCGTATATTACTATCTTGTTTCTGAAATAATAAATATAAGAATTGTAAAATAAGTACCAGATTTTCAAAATGCCAATTAATTTACAAGGAGTACGTCAGTACTTAAGTGAATTGAGAAATTCTGGGGGCTTGCACAAGGACCAAGCTGAAAAGTAAGTCGAAATGCTTTGTTTTGTATCCTACTTCTATTTGACAAAAGAACTTACTTTTAATCAAAACAAGTCCAGCAACATAATATAATTATAATTTTATTTTAATACGGGTTAATTGCAGATACCGCAATGTTCTCATGGAAATACTAAAAAGTACTGAAACGGAATTGGCTGAATCACTAAAAGCTTTTGTAGAAGCAAGTAAGTCTGATGTATATTTTAAACATTACAGTGTGTCTTCATAATACAAGATTTACCCGAGCGTATTTATGTATTTCAAATAATCTTTTGCCATAGTTTATACTAATAAGCTAGACATTTGTCCTATGTCTGCTGATAGTTAGGTAGTAACCACAGAATATCATATTTAATCAATCTTACATCCCTGTTAGGAATTAAAAGAAAGCTGAACACTCATATTTATTTTGAAGTCCATATGTACCTACTATTTTTTAATCTTTGAAATTCTGTTTTAGAAATAAAATACACATTATACTTAACTTCTTATTTGTGTTTTTCAGTTGTGAATGAGAATGTGAGCCTGGTAATTTCTCGTCAGCTCCTGACAGATGTGAGCACTCACTTGGCGCTGCTGCCTGACCTTGTCTCCCAGGAAGTCTCACACTTTGCTCTAGATGTCATTCAGCCCAGAGTCATCTCTTTTGAAGAACAGGTATTTAAATCCCCTCATATTTACATTTACTATTGGAAAATCATTAGTATTGAACAACATAGCACTGTAATGCTTGTTTACAATTTTCTGTCCAATGAGGGTAGGCTCATTTGTATTGAGTATTTGCTTGCTTATTACTTACTACACTTCTATCAAACTTGTATTAGATGCCATAACTTATGTACCACATCTTAAAACAAAGTCCTATGAAGCCTGAAATAAATGAAAGTATGGAACTATGGACTAGCCCCTTGACTCCCTCTATGTGCGACACAATAAACACTACTTTAAAATATAGATACTATGTTCAGTGGTCTAATAGATATGCATGATTTTTACTACCCTCCAACTGACCTCTTATATTGCTCGTAATCAAATTGAACCCAAACTTGTTAAACCTCATGGAATCAAAATTAATTAAAACAAACAAAACATTTTTCAGGTAGCCAGTATTAGACAACATTTGGCAGATATTTATGAGAGGAATCAGAATTGGAAGGAAGCTGCCAATGTATTGGTTGGGATACCACTGGAAACTGGACAGAAGTATGCATAAATAAATATTTCTAAAACTGTGATTTGAAATATTTTGTTATATCAGGCAACTATTAACAAAAGTTTAAAATAAATATGTATTGAAAATGCAACAGGCAGCTAATATAACTAAAGTTACAAATGAAAGCATTATCAGAATGTTTTCATAAAAAACATTAAACAAAAATATAGACACAAAAGTAGTGTTTTGTTCAGACTTTAAAAAAATAAATAAAAAAAAGTTATTTCCCTATTTTCGTAATAGTAATGTATTCAGTCCACATAATACCATTTAGGTTTTGTTACTAACAAAGTGATTTATTAATTTCAGACAATACTCAGTAGATTATAAGCTAGAGACATATCTGAAGATTGCCCGCCTATACCTCGAGGTTGATGACCCCGTGCAGGCTGAGGCATTCGTCAACAGAGCTTCACTCCTGCAGGCCGAGACTACTAATGAACAACTACAGATCTACTACAAAGTTTGCTATGCTAGAGTCTTGGATTACAGAAGGTAAATAGTCTTTTTGTATACTTTAACTCGTCGAGTACCTGTTTTGTAGACACCGGTAGGTTACAGTCACCGGTGACCGCTTGGTGTTTGACAGTTTAAACATCAACTGGTTGTAATCGGAACTGCAACCATTGAACAAGAGAGGGGTGAATTTCCCGCAATAGGAAAAATAATATTGGAGATTTTTGGCTATTTTTTTTATTATGCCTGATATCAGCCGGGACAGGGCTTATCCAGTATTACATTGAGCTCAAAAAATTGTAATAATGTAACTTTTTTTATCGAAATTGCACTTTGAACTTAAATATTAAGTGTTTTGTAGAATTGTTATTATTTTGTAGGAAATTCATAGAAGCGGCCCAAAGATACAACGAATTGTCATACAGGAACATTATCCACGAAGATGAGAGGATGACGTGTCTGAGGAATGCTCTCATATGTACTGTGTTGGCGTCGGCAGGTGCGTTATACATTCTATTGTACGGATTCTACCCTAGTGGTAGGCAGGACCTATGTACTTACACAAAGTAAATAGAATGAGTAGGTAGCTATGTAATAAACCCTAACCGATTTTGATGTAGGTAACCAGTCAGTCAAACTGTACTAGTCCACTTCAACAGTGATACTATACTATATTTAGGTATGTGTTAATACAGGTTCACTCACTCACTATCAGGGCTCCTAAAGGTGACTTTATTTGTGTCCAACTTGAGGATCCAATCTAAGATCTAGTGAAATACATAAACCACTACATCAACAAGACGACTGAGTGTAGCTTGCCCTCCCCTGTAATAGCATACTTAACTATTCCGATATATCTGTACGGCTATACATGGGACTTCCTTTGATAAGCCAACTAAAGTGGATTCTCTTGATTATCAGTTACAGCCGTACCAATTTCTACCTGCGATAGTATGAACAGTATTTGTTAATGAACCTAAAAACCGCACGTCAAAATCATCATTAAAATCGATACTATGTACCTTGTCTTGAAAAAGTAACACCCACCCTTTCTTTACAGGACAACAGCGTTCCAGAATGCTAGCTACCCTATTCAAAGACGAGAGATGTCAGCAGTTACCAGCATATTCTATTTTGGAGAAAATGTACCTGGATCGTATCATCAGGCGCTCGGAGCTGCACGAGTTCGAAGCCCTAATGCAGACGCATCAGAAGGCAATGTGTCATATTTTAATATTTATCATTCAGTACTTACAGGATAAATGGGCATGACCGACTCAAGGCAGAGTCGACATTGTAATGGCTTCTGAGATAAAATGTATTGTATAGTTATGTTATTTTCCAAAGGATGCCTATGCCAGTGCCATGAGCATCCTTTGACATACCAGTTATGTATTTTTTTTTTTTTTTAGGGGGGAAAGTCATCGAATGACTGCTCCCGCCTGGGTGAGGCGGGAGGGAGTGTCAGACTCTTACTGACTAAAAACCACCCCGTTCCTTCTCCTGCACGTCGAGCCGGAGCCCCGGTTACCCGTTAGGTTCTCCGCGACTCCGAATCGGCATCGGCCGTATTGGGCCCCATCTGTGGTGGTCTGATGGCTCTTTGAGGCGCGCGCGGAACGCGACGCGCCGTACGCTCGGGTCTGTTTCTGGTCGGACGGGGAGCCACCCATGCTCGCCGTCCGCAGGCCCGCACCAGTTATGTATGGAACCCTTTTGGAGTAAGAGGCGATGCTGAAAAAAAATCTAGTGATACTTTGGGAAACGGAACACACAGTAAAATGCTATTTTCTGTTAACCCTAAGCTACAATGTTGCTGTCGCACACAATGTTGAATTATCACTAGAATAATATTCCTAAAATTCATACGAACAAAGATTTGTGTTACGCGATGCTGCAACAAAGTTACGGATTGCGGAACTCTGTTTACCATATACAAGGAAATAGTAGATTACGCATTACTTCACTTTTGCTTTTCTATACACGTGTTAATTACGAGCAGTATGTAGTATGTTCTTGACCTTTTTATCAGTATCAGCACTAGTAATCATCTTATTCTCAAACAAACAAAAGATCTATCACTCTTATTAGACCGACGTTGTGAAATTTATCGATACTTTTTAGCGTATGTGTAAATACATAAATCTATGAAGTGTAGCTTTATTATATCTGTAGCACTTTTAGATCTCTAATTTACTGATATGTTAAATTTTAACAGGCTACCACATCAGATGGAACCACAATCTTGGACCGCGCAGTTTTCGAGCATAATCTCCTGTCTGCTAGCAAATTATACAATAATATTACTTTTGAAGAACTGGGCGCGTTATTGGAAACCCCACCCGCCAAAGCTGAGAGGATTGCTAGCCACATGATCAGTGAAGGTCGGATGAACGGATACATAGATCAGATCAGCTCTGTTGTACATTTTGAAAGTGAGTGTTTATGACAACAATATTACCATCAACTAGAATCGATAGATGTTTTTTACAAATCGCATACCTATTAGGTACTAGGTAGGTCATTCATCTGTTTTCTACACTGTCAATCCTTTGATAAAAGGGTAATCTATATTCAAAAGCATCGGATAAATACACACAACTGTAATATAATCGATCAATATCAATCAACTCATAGGCATAACGTAAATACCTACTTGAAGTGATATAAACGCGTGATGTATTTTCTCTTGATAGTGAACACCAACAAGCGTACATTCCATTGACATAATGATAAGATATAAATAGCGGAGAGATTTAGTAGATATGATTAGATAGGCCTAACAAAATGCTAATGTCTTCTGAATACCGAGGCCGTGTTGTAATGTCCCATGTCCTCACAATTCTCGACGGGATGGTGGTTGTTCATTCATACCCGAAATTGCCAGTGGGATCATTATGCCTAAGACTAGGAAATCAGTCTAAAAGTAAAAACTTTCAGTTATAGATAGAACTAACTAACACAACACAATAAGAAAGCATGTTATAACATTGCAATAAGAATTTCCTGTATGGGAATACAATTAATGATACCAGTTTTTTAGGAAGTTACTATCAAATACTTTAATTAATATGTACTTATGAGCCTTCGCACGCAATACTTGTAGGTAGGTATTTGTAATTAGTAACTGCGAAGAGAACATCATTTAGGTAGGCTAAATAACATCAATTATTAATTAAGTACCTCCCTGTCAATAAAGGAATTAAAAGTTTGAACATTAATATCATTAATATACTCAGTTTGGCCTTAGATGAAACACCGTCTCTTTATGACAAAGCTAAAGCAGACGATATGACGATTGACGCAAATAACGCGTCACGTCATTGGCTAGATGTATAAATAACTGGTAAGATCGGCTGTAACAACAACTCTTCATAAATTGTTGTCGTATGTTTTCAATACATAAATAATACCTACGACTATATAACAACTTTTCATTGAACGTAACAATGAAGGTGTGTGCCAAACTGCATCGTCAGGGTTAAAATAAACGCTAAACGGGAAGTAATGAAGGCACCTGGCTACATTGTTCGTTTCATCAATGATTTTTCTATTTCAAAAGTATCTATACTGCTAGGGAGGTTGTTTCACATCGTACCCATAAAAATTTGTTTCCCATTATATCTATAAAATCAATGATGATGTTACGAATTGTTTCCAGCTCGTGAGATTCTACCACAATGGGACAAACAGATTCAGAGCCTCTGTTACCAAGTGAACAGCTTGATCGAGAAAATAGCTGCTGCAGAGCCAGAGTGGATGGCCAAGCTCATGGAGGAAGAAATGATCCAATAGCATTAGTACTCCTTGTATCTACTGTTCTTACTAATATAATATGCTTTTCAATATAAATTTCTTTTTTATTTTAATTGCAATGCTACAATACAAAAATTGACTAGAAACATTTAAACAAAAACTCTTTATTAAACAAACAGCTTCCAAATTATGAAAATTGTAAAAAAATATCAAATACCTATCCACATTGAAACACTTAGAATAGAGGGACTTACTTAAGGAGAGGAATTAATTCGAAATTATTTGTTGGTTTGGTCTAATAAAACAAATACACGCTGATTCCAACGGACTATTCATTTTTATTTCCATTCAATCAAGAATACACCATAGGTGCTTATTTACAAGACAACTGGCGTGGTGACGATATACAGGTTCAATATTAGTATTTACCAAAACAGGGATGCTTATACGCCGCGTGCTAATACATAATAGTTACATTAAGAACTCTAATAATAACATTTCTAGGAAATAGCGACCGCCGTCTTGAAATAGAAAGTATGAACGACGGTGCTAACCCGCATTTACAATGATGAAGTAATTAGGTGTATGATAAGTTTAATTGGAACGTTTTAAACGCTCATTTACACTATACAGAGAACATTGACTTGAAGATACTGTTTAATAAATTGATTTTTCTAGTTACGCTTCCTTTTCTGTTATTATTATATAACAGTCAATGTGGCATTATGTATTATCTACAAGACTAAAAGCCGAAGCGCCTCTGAGTGCTTAGGGCTCGAGCTCAAGGGCGACGCCCACTTTGTGTCCACCAGCGTTGAAGTTCTGGCCATCAATAGCCGCCGACAGCGTCAGGACCACTCCTGTAAATATGAGAACAATGTTATGTAATAAATCTCAACTGCCGCAGATTTTTCTTGATAAGATATGAGATAACGCATGTCAGGCACATGGACAATGGTACAGATCATATGATCTGCCTCTAAATTAGCGCAAAATTACATTTTAAAAATTCAATTATAATATAGAAAAAAAAATTTACTTCTCATAATTCAATTGTATTAATTATTACATCACTATAATGCATTATTTCATACGAGCCATTAAGGCTAGAATGCTCTTTATCAGAGATTATCTTGGCAAGTTTATGATGTAATTATGAGGTTTATGTTACTATAGTTGTGGAATACCCAATGAAACATTGACTTGAAGATACTGTTGACGACTTGATGAAATGTTGATAAGTCTGATATAAGTATCAGACTTATCAACATTTCATCAGCTAAGTGTTACCTGGGCGGAGTTTCTGTTGGTATCCAAGACCAATAAGAGATTTGTTGTTGATCTTGGCGTGCAGAGACGCGTCCGCGTCCAACGCGAACTTAGCGCCAACACCAAATAGCGTGTCGGCAGATCCTGCGGTCCACTTCATGCTGATACCGCATTCGATCTTCTCAGACACCTTCTGGTAGATGGAACCACCAAAGTCCTTTCCATTGTCACTGCATATATAAGAAAACAAAATTGTATTTCAATGTTTCAAAGTTATTAAATATTTACAATTCACTAACATTCATTGTTCAAGATATTAAGGTCATTGTTAAAGTAGTTACCAAACGTAACAAAAAGTAGATGCCACAGATCATATGAGACTCCGTCATAAATTATTCCCCATTCAACTGAATGATTGTATTTAGCTAGTTATAACTGGTTAGCATAACAAGAGAGATGACATCCTTGCTAAACCTCAACTAGGGCATGACTGCATGAGTTATGCAATCTTATAAAATCAATAGAAGTGACTCACTCAGATACTATCAAATGCCCTATAGACCTAGATTTAGCTTATTTCAAGTGAATTATTGATTTCTCTGACCCATTGTCAGTCTGTGTAACAAAACTGATGATCATTCATGTGAGTTTTTTGGGTGATAAAATTCTACTTTTCAAATGACATATACTTACACATTGGTGTGTAGGTTGAAGTCCTTTGACTGGTAACCAAGAGCAAAGTTGTTCTTGGAGAACTTAGCCTTCTGGGAGTCAAACTGTCCGTGGACACCAGCAAGCCAGCCCTGGAAGCTCAGGACAGCAGCAACATCCACAATAGGACCAGCCAGGTCCAAGTCCAAGTTGGTGTTAACAGCAACAGTTTCATTAGCAAAAGAGGTCTTCAGTTTACCAGTCTTGCTTCTGTAAATCAAAATTAACTGATTTAAAATATATTTTCTTGAATAATCAGAACTTGATAGGCCACTGAATAGGAAGAAATAAACCATTTTTCTGCCTCATTCTTACCCAGTTTGTGGTGCGAAGGTTCCTTCAAGTGTAACTTTAAGTCCAGCAGCAATTTTATCCTGAATAGTGATGTCAGTGGCGAGTGTATTGTCTGTGTTCCATTTTTCAGTGAAAGTTAGACCATAATCCTTCACTGCATATTTTGATGAAAGGCTACCGAACACCTGAAAGATACAACATAATCAGTTTTCTGTTTGATTCTAATATGTTGTTTAACTTTCTAAGATTACATTCATGAGCATAATTTACATATTTTATTTTCATAAAGACCCCACTGTATTCTAACCACCTGACCTTCGTAAATATTTATTACAGTAACTTTGTCATGTAACTTCTAGAAATAATATATAGAAATGTATATATAAATTGGTTATTTTGCCTACAAGATATTCGGATTGTTGTAACATTCTTACCTTTCCGCTTTCTTGGTTGGAGGTGATTCCACTGGAGAATTCAACACCTGTTTCACTTTTGGTCTTGAGGTCAAGTTTGAACACACCGAAGTGGTAGCCTTTGCCGAAGACATCATTGGCCTTCTTTCCAAGATCAGCATAGTATGGGGGAGACATTCCCTAAAGAACATTGAATCAATCATTAGATTTGAGGCCTACGAAAACGTTTTGTATGTACGTGTCCGGCGAAGTCATTAACCTTAAAATGGTACTATATTAGAAAACTGAAAAATAGACCCTTATCACATAAATCAAGGTGAAGCTTAACACGTTTAGCAAAGACGCGAAATAGCAATCAGTGCCAGCTGTGTCAGGGTCGAAATCGGCTTAGTGACTTATTTACAAGCCACTTCTACACAAGGTATTACATAACGTCGATGCATTGGAGCTGAAGCTGTACTACTAAAACCTTACAGCTTCGTGAAAGACCATGAACATGGATAACTAACACAAAGTAGCTATATGTAGGAGGCCTTAAACTTGACCTTTGAGAAAAGGGCCGTAGTTGGGCTGCTGAAATGTTCACATCACATGCGTCAATTTAGCTTGAACCCCGGTGACGTTCTAGATCAGCAATAGAGGGACATTACATTACATTTTGAGAGAAGAGTTAAGACCTTAAACTAAAAATGTGATTTAAACAACTTTTAATTGAAAAGAATAACGAGAACTGTACAAAATTGTAAAATGACGTCGATATTCCCCGTTATAACCGGCTGGCCCCACAAAACGTAACCTATTTACAACAATACGAAATTCTTCTCGTTTCATCTAAAAACTTAACGTAATACGACTTTCTTGAATAATACTTACTGCGGCTTAAAATTTATTCACAAATTGGAACTATTTCACACTGAATTCCAGGCAATTTGCCGAGAACAAGACCTCCTACACTACCACACCACAAGACAATTTCTATTTTGACAAAAAGTCGACAGAGGGCGTGACGGCCGGAACTCGCGTTATTGATATTCACTCCACTTTAGCGTATATCTTTAAGAATTTAACTAGAAACCAAATTGTATAATAAATAAAAGTGATCGTTTTTTAATAGTGTATTTCTCAAATTATATTTTTAATATCTGTTCATTGACTGCATTGTAAATATAAAAGTAAACAATTGACTTTTGTTTTCAGGAATGACGTACATAATGCTAAGAATCTTATGATTTTTTATACTATTAAATTTTTACTCAGTCTATTTGCCTGTAATTATATTTTATAATTCATATTATAAATCAAATAAATTTAAATAATTACTTTCTTTTTTAAACTTTCATATATAAATAATTGTTAGTTTCTAACAAAGACGCGCGTAATTCAAACGGGTGTAGCAGGGATAATAAAGTTAGTAGGAGTTTTGAACTTGGACAATAATATTTATTTATTTTTATAGTCATTGTGTAATAAAATAATAGATGACATTTCAATTTCAGACTTACTATTGATCCAAAATTTTCAATAAAGCATATAAAACCACATGATTTTTCTGCATCTTCTGAAGCCGCTATTTTAAATGGGCACTGTTCATCTGCATTTTCGCAGTCACCGCCTTCACTGACTGAACCATCCTTTAACAGATTTTTTTTAATAAGTAGTAATATCAAAAATATTAATTCTTTTTTTCTTTATACCTTTAAATTAGATATTCTGTTAGCTACTTACTGCTTGCATAAGGTTAATGTTAGGTAACATGGTAAAGTACTTACGTCTGTAGTACAAGATGGTTTTTCTCCAAATATTGCCGCGCTGACTGTTGGATATTTTAAGCTTTGCCAACAGTCCAATAAATCCTCAAAAATTGACATAATTAAGAAAAAATCATTAAAAATTACGATAATATTTGAACGAAAAATGTATGACAAGAGGGGACGTCTAGATCATTACGAATTTTGAACCAAATAAATCTACTAGGCTATTATGATAATTAGATATAGGACTCAATGATTATTAACACTGAAGCTTGAAAGCCTTGAATTCAAATGAACTTTTATGGGATCATAATGGGCTAGTTTTCTAGGTATCCTCCTCCTTTATCAGTATTCATTATTTACACAAATTATATTAATGCTTGACGAATATCTTAGGTTTTAGATAGTTGTCTCAATCTTGATTGCAGGCTGATACGACTACCTACCTTGTAATATGGCGCATCTATCAATCTAGTATCTACAATTCTACATAAGTAGGTTTAAACTGTCAAACACCAAGCGGTCACCGGTGACCGCAACCTATTGTTCTATAATTGTGTCTACAAAACCGGTACTCGACGAGTTAAATTATCAAAAACATAACATAACATCACGCCTTTTATCCCCGAAGGGTTAGGCAGAGGTGCACATTACGGTACTTAATGCCACTGTACAATGTAACATCCACTTTTCACTATTTATGTTATGAGTCCCATGTAATAGGGGGTGAGCCTATAGCCATAATATATGGACCGGGCTCATTTCCAGACTCCGTGCTACTACTAAGATTTTTAAAAACCCAGTAATACTTTGCACGACCCGGGAATCGAACCCGACACCCCTTACCCGGCAGTCGCACTTGTGACCACTCGGTCAAAGAGGCAGTCAAATTATCAATATTTATTATTTCAATAATATGTTTTTTTAACTGATAACTAATTTCCAATTAACATTCAGTGGGAAACGCGTCATCAGTGTGAACGACCCAGTAGATCACCTTTCCTTATTACGTGGAGTATGCTTACATAGAAAGGATAACTAGGTATAATTTTATTGGCATTGCTCCACAGATGCTAGACCTAACATCTGCTAAGTGTTCACTTTATAGACATTCCTTTTCAAACTGTATATATTGGCATTACTGGCCTATGTTGCGTCGCATCGTAAGAATCGCAAAGTTTTTCTTCTCTGGCGATTAGGTACTTAAATATGTTTATACTTAAGCATGTCTCTTTTGTCTTTGTTGTTTATGACTGCTTCATCCCTTAGGGCTGGAAGATCTAGTGGGTGACAGAACCTATAGATACCCACAAAAAGTACATGACAGCTTTTAAATAAAACAAATAGGTACGTCTCGAAAAAAATCTCAGCGTTTCCGGCGGGGCTCCCTTAATTAGCGGCCATTCGCTTGATATTGTGTGGACTAGGATATTTTTAGGAATAGATGTTTACTCACTTGACGCATATAAATATAGCAGACAATAGGTATTACTGAATGTAAACTTATATCGTATCATATGGAAACGTTCCGAAAGTTCGAGCGGCCCAATTCTCGAATGGAGCGAAGTTTATTTTAGACGCTAATCTTGTTCAGTGGGCATTTCAGCAAACAGTTTCGGCCGCTTCAATCTGTATCTGATCAATCCAAGGAGCACTTGTGTACTGACCAAATGGGTGACGACGTGCGTCATTATGATGTACAACAAAACGATAAATATGGACGGTATCTGGTGGCTAATAAAGACTTAGTAAGCGGTGAATTAATATTTACTGACACTCCATTCGCCGTTGGACCAAAACCAGGCAAGTGTTTAAATAAATTTATAAACACATAAAAGCAATTACTGCTAATTTTATTACTAACGTGACCATTTAATAAATCAATGATCTATTAATCTTGGTACCTACTCAAAAGACAAATTATTAGCAAAATAAACAATCAAGAATCTGTCTACCATAAAAATGTTAACTGCCCACTTTACCTAACTGTGTACCTAAGTAATTGAGTTATTTTTTTATTGACATACATATTATTTATTACCTATTTAATAAAAAAAAGTTGCTAAATATAAAAACTTATCCAAACACATCAATATTTTTTAATAATTTAAATGTCAACGATCGCCATGACCTAGGTTTACGGCGTAGCAATCGTAGGTCTACGAGTATTTAGTGCGTAATTTTAATTACTCAGGCATGCTGACACGAAAATTATGGTAATTTTATAGCCTTTATTTACCTATAGCAATTAACACGCAGCAGTAAAAAAATATTTGTAACATTCAACTATCATTCAGCTTGGTTAATGAATAGGTAGGTAGGTAAATTAGGTTTCATAATGTTTTAAACGAAAATATATAGATACCTACGTGAGTATTGCAATATTAAAGTCTTTTAACTAAACCAACATTAAGTGAAGGCTCGGTAAGTTAGATTCATAAGTGTGCCAGAGGTGAGGTATTAAGTACCTAACTTGCAAAAGAATGTGATAGCTAATAGTACTGCGTCTACCTTCTGGGTGATTATCAGATTTTATTTAATTGATACAGATACTCCACCACTATGCCTAAGTTGTTACTGTCCCGTGGAGAACACCCTATGCTCTGCTTGTGGTTGGCCGGTCTGCAGCGAGGAGTGTGGAAAGTCTCCGGCACATGCTGGAGAATGTGAAGTCTTCTCCGCAGTCAAAGTGAAGTTCCAAACGGTCGAGGATTGGACTGTGAGCGCACCACAGCTTGATTGCATTACGCCGTTAAGGTACTTAGCCTAGTTAAGTGATATTAAAATTAAAATGTTCAATGCACCTTATTGTTAGATAGGTACGGTATTTACTATTTAGAATACATTAATTCGCCTGTTGCTTGAGTGGTCACAAGCGCTAATGCCGACCCAGAATAAGTAAGTCTAAAGCTTACTTCGAAAGTTACAGAATAGTCTAGCAGAGGCCTTAGTACGAGTTTGTTTTACGTTTAAAGTATTCGAAACGAGTACGCGTTCGGCACTCTGATTGGCCGGCTCCAATGAAGCAACCAATATTCTGTAACTTTCGAAGTAAGCTTTATTACATTGTCGCCCGTCATTGGTCGAGATTATTTTCACAACCAATGACATTGCGGACGGCGACCGAGTTCAGTTTGATATTTCGAATTAAAAATTACAGAATAGCCTAGCTGGGTAAAGTATATTTTTGTGTGACATATTCGGCTTTCGAATGTTCTCAGTAATGAGAAGCATTATGAAGCTGGTAATGGAAATTACTTGCCCGCTAGCTCACGTCTTTGTATAAGACTCACTCAAACATCTCACGAAAATAAGTGAATGTTAATATCTGTGCATTCTCTGCCCACTCCTCTGAAGATTAAGACATATTTTTATTATGAAATGTTATGTATGTTTAAAATTGTTTATTTTTACAACCCATTTTTTCTGTTTAGAATACTTTTAGCAAAAGAAAAAGACCCCGATCGATGGCAACGCGAGCTGGAAGTGATGGAGACTCACACGAAGGAACGGAAGGAGAGGCCCACCTGGGGAGCTGACCAGGTCAACATCGCAGACTTCCTTGTGGACTACTGTAAACTTGGCGATAGATTTGACAGGGAGCTGGTACAAAAAGTCTGCGGTATTCTTGAGGTGAGATCCAGAAGACAGACGTTCTAGTTTAGTTTTTTTTTTAGAGAACCTATGATAGTTTGTTTAGGTCCTGTAATTGGTTTCAAATCATTTATCTTTATACCCACAGGTGAATTCTGTGGAAATCCCATCCCGTGGTGGCTTTAGCATAAGAGCTCTTTATCCACAGTTAGCAATCGCAGCACACAACTGTGTTCCGAACATCGTTCACACAATACTACAAAATGATTACCAGTAAGTAAATTGATCTTCATAGTAGGCACCTACCTTAATTCTAGTAGGATTTAACACCTAAAAGTGCTTCTATGTGATTTAATTGAATTAAATGCTTTGACCTGTAAGATTTTACAGGAAAATACAAAAGGAATAATGACTACCTATCGGTACTCAATCTTTTCAGAGTGCAAGTTCGAGCTGCAGTCCCCTTAAAACAAGGAGAAACTCTAAACATATGCTACACGCACTCATTGTCTCCTACCATTGTTCGTCGCGACTTTCTACTCGAGTCCAAGTTCTTCGAGTGCGATTGTGCTCGTTGCGCTGACCCTACGGAACTCGGGACACATCTCAGCACTCTCAAGTGCAGTAAATGTGATAATGGAGTGATACTGGCTACTAATCCTTTAGGTATGTTGTCGGAATATATATTTATAATCAAATTCAAAATTATTCTGGTTTAAGAAACGGGTTTGAGGTTGAGATTATGTGATGTTCCCTAAGATAGTAAGAGGGAGGATCCTTTAACCAGGCTATGATACTGCCCTAAAGTTAGGAATTTCTATCCGCCTTATTTCACAAAGGCACCCAGACCTGCCAGAACAACTGGACACAGGTCTGCCCGAGAAAGGCCACAGCACTTTAAAGGCCTCGATTAATAAATCACGCAAATCATATTGTTGTACGGGATCAAATAACTTTAGCCGTCGACGATGACCTATTTGTTATGCTATTTTAAAATAGGTAGACGGGAAAACTGTCGGTTTCAGTAAATATGACCGACAGATGATAGACATTACCTACCTACTACTTCAAAAGATGTTTTAATTCTGGAGTTGCCAACTTTCCGACTATAGGTACTTTACAATCTCATGTTTATGTAACGATATCCATGTTTTATAAGTGGAATATGAATACCCTAGTTAGTAAGTACCTATAAGTTGAGATGAAAGCTCTAGGATGGGTATCCTACCTAGTAAAAGTTTCGGTGGTACCACCGTATCTAGGTAGGAATATAGTTTTAAAACTTTATCCAAACTACTTACACCCAAAATAGGGTAGTTTCCTATCAATTTCCGTCTGGTAGATAATCCATTCTCTTAAAATTGAATATTTTCGACGATATACTAATTTGAAATATCACGTCACAACGTGCTGCATTTTATAGCACTTTGTGACGTAACGTAACTCCTAAACTAAACTCCATTTTATCTAAGTATTGTAACATTATACGAGAAAATAAAAACTACGTGTCTTAATATTTTTTCATTAATAATTTTTATACCCTGGCTTACTACCCTATTGTCGATGTTTCAGACAACGAGGCTCCATGGACGTGTACGGACAAAAACTGTGGGTTCAAGACGTCCGGTGCCGCAATGCGCAAGATGTTGGCAGTGGTGCAATCTGAAATCGACCAGCTTGATATGATGGAGCCCGGCCCCGCCGCTATTGAGCAAAGAGAGGCCACGATCAATAAGGTAAGTACCCAAATTGAATTTTTAGTCTTTAATTGATTTATAGGTACCTACCTACTTAACTTGAAAACCGCGCATAGCATAGCATCAGGACTTACTTTCCAAGAGGCAGGCAGAAGTGCTCACGCCCATTTTTCGCCTACCTACTACAAGTCCCATGGCGAAGAGGACCTGACAACCGCCTATTATTTTGGCATACAACGAAGGCTATATCTGATTCAAGAATAAGAAGGTTACACAATCTGCAAGTTGAACTCGATATCAGTAGATGGTCGGAACTGTGATCATTTTTGTTTCAGTATAAATCAGTATTCCATCCCCGGCACTCGCTTCTGTTGTCACTGAAGCACACACTAGCTCAGCTGTACGGCCGAGTGGAAGGGTACAGCATCGATGAGCTACCGGACCTCATGCTGGAGAGGAAGGCGGAGTTCTGCAGGCTCGTCCTCAGCACTCTGGACGTTATCATGCCAGGAGAGACTCGAATGAGAGGTGAGTTGTAACTTCGTCGTATCTACCTATGCATGATTGTCTTACCCAGGTAAATTCCTTCAGTAAGAATTAAAGAAATGCGAGACTTTTTCAGCAGTCTCTGAAATAGGCATAGATGGTAGGTACTGCCACTCATTTTACATACGTAATCCTTATTTCTATAATTGTAAGGTTCATCATACCTGGGTATAGACAAGCAATTTATATTTATTCTTATGTAAAATTATTATATAAGCCTACTTCTGCGTTTCTAGGCATGATGTTGTACGAGTTACACGCACCTCTGATGTTCTTAGCAAGAAACGAATTTAGTGCTGGCCTTATTACTCAAGAGAAATTGAAAGAAAAATTGCAAGAACCTATTCAATGCTTGGCGGAAGCCGCACGGATTCTTATAAGAGAGGATCCACAAAGTCCTGAAGGAATAACTGGGCAGATCGCACAGCAGTCTATGGAACAACTTAAAGCTAGTCTTGATTGCTTATAAAGTAGTTCTTAATAATACATTCTATTCAATATGTTTGTAAGAACCACAATGTTTGATGGGTAAAATTATTTGTTTCATAATAATTCCACAGTTGAAACTCGACAATAAGTTTCATGAATGAATATTATTATGTGTAACATAATATGCTAGGTGTAGATCAGTGTAGGTGTGTAGATTTTCGAATATTTTCTGCAAAAGCTACGAAAAGACAAATTAACAATGATCTCCTCAAAATTCATATTAACGAATTTATTTCAACAAATAAAATTATATAGTTTATAATATGATTGTTGTTTTATTCATAATCAGTTTTGTAACCATTTAAAATTTAATTTTCTTGGGTTTCTTACTACTTGATTCTTCGTATGACAATTTATTGCTTTGATGCACAACATCTTCAATGTTTTCTGAACTGTTCAGTGTGTGAAGTTTCACTGTAGACTCTTCTTTTTTATCCGTCAGCTGGAAGTTATGACAAAATTAAATGTTAATGTACATAAACATATAAAACTACTTCGCGACTATTAATATATACAACTTAAAATATAAAAAAAATAAATGTTAATTAGATTCCATTGTATAATGATAATGTTGAAAATCTGTTACAGAAACAAAATTGAAGTAGGTCTGCTTGCTGATGTACTACCAAATCTAGTGAGTGCAGATTGAGTATTTGTTTCCAATGAAGTAGAGATGAAGAGAGTAGTGTTAAGTGGTGGATACAAAAATTAATTATCTACTTACAATGAGTTAGTAAGTTTTTACTAAACGAAACTACATTATAATTTGTATGTAATAAATAATAATACTTACAGTAGGACAATCTTTCCTTAGATGTGTGACATCACCACATAGCTTGCATGAACCACCGTTTGGATACAATCCCTTGGGATTGTCAGGACACTGTCTGGCTATATGCCCCTGTAAAATTAATTTATGGCCATTAGATCATTAATGAAAAACAAACATTATGAACTAAATAATGATGTAAAAATGTAATGGATGTTTACTTACAGGCTCTTTGCAAATAAAGCATGTTGCAAATCTGAATTCTTTATCTCTTTGTACTTTACATTCAAATTGTCTGTGTTCTGTGGACCCGCACTTGAAACACACTCCTTCTGCAGCATCAGCTGAAGGTATCTTTGACTTTAAGTCTGGGCAGTCGGAGAGAACATGACCCCCTTTTCTGCAGTTGTAACACACTTCCCTTTTCATTCTGGCCAGAGCTTTTTCAGCTCTTCTTCTTTCCAACTTCATAGTCCTTTGAACCTCACTCTTAGGGATGCCCTTTTTAATCATACTATTCTTCAAATCTTGGAGCCTTTCAGCATCTTTTTTCATAACTGGGAAACCATCAAAACGGACCAATTCTATTTCCTTACCATTAATAATGAGTTGGAAACTCCTGTCGTTGATCTCTTTCCTGCGAACTGGTTTGCCATCAACCAATTTTTTATTCTTTTTGTTTTTACCTTGTGGTTGTTGTTTGTTACTATTGTTGTTGTTTTGTACATTATTATCTTTGATATTACCTGTTGATGTATTAGAATTAGGTGCCTGACCCTCTGTAGAATCAGTTGCAACTGTATTTTGTACATTCTTCTTCTTCTTATTTTTTTTAGTACTTGGTGTAGTTTTGTCTCCTGTAATGGGTTCTGTTACTTCTGTGATATTTTCTTGACCCTGTGACTCGGTTACCTTGTTACTCTTGTTCTTCTTCTTTCTAGGTTTCTTCTCAGCAGTCTTTACATTGTCAGTTACATCATTCTGGGATTCTGCTTTATCATTGCTGGGATCAGGGTTCTCTGTCTCACTGGCAATTTTTTTCTTGTTTTTCTTTTTGCTTTTGACTGGTGGACCATTTGACTCTGATGTGTTAGCTATTACTTTAGACTGTTTATTCTCGGAATCTGGGAAATCACACCAGGTCGCTTTCCGTTTTTTAACTTTATGGTCTTTGAGGAAGTTTTCGTAGTTTTCTATGCGTTGCTTTTCAGCCTAGACATTAAAAATAAAATTACTTTAAACTATGTGCTTACTTATAACATGCAATCATTAACAATGTAATATACTGTTAATGATTAATAAAAGCAAAAAATAATATTACCGTACCTCTTTCCTCTTTTTACATTCCTCACCCTCTTTTTTAGCTTGTAATAACTGTTCTTTCATAACCTCCCATGGCGTACTGTCTTCTGGAGCTCTTTCATTAGAAGATTTCGAGCCTTTGGCTCTAGCAAATCTAGTCATGATTTTAGTTATAGATAACCTTTTCAAAATTATTTATGAAATGCACATGGACAATATCACCATGCCAAGTAAAAACATTGCAATGCAATGTGAAATTTGACAGCGACAGACGATAGATCATGTCAGAAGTCAGAACGTGACATTGACAGATTCTAAAGTGGTGTTGCCCATTTTGATTATAGCCTTGGCTACAATTTACTTTGATTACCTATACTTTCAATGAAGAAAGTTAATACTATTTTATGATCTGTACATTAATGAATGACTTTGTACCGAATTTGTACCCACTTTTCATTTCTGCTATGCCTGAGTAGCTTCGATATTTACGGTTCTATATTCGTTCTCCTCTAGTGCCAGGCGCCAAAGGCAAAGAGTATAGGGGGGCCAATGTCGATGGATTTAGGATTAAAGTCTTTAATATTACATGCTCTGTGCTCTATTCTTTGAACTACTTGTCTATAGTCCATATTCTATCACTGTGATTTGAGGTTATGTATGTAGCCATTTGTAAACAATAATATATACCTATTCATCTTTCATTTGGTTTTCCTGCAGTCTGTTACATATTATAATTAAAATACGTTTACGGCGGTGTCGATCAAAAAAGATGAATGGAAACTCAAAACGTTAATTATATAACTTCAGTGTTCTACGAATATAAATCAACAGGTAATTTATTACAACGCATCTCTACTTTATTCCATTTAAAATCGTTTTAGCCTACCGTGCGATGTTAAAAAGACCATGATACATATAAAATTGCAATGCATAAATGCATGCAAAATATTTTAATTTAAACCCCGGTAACTTCAAAAATTTTATAAAATATGCCGTAACATTTCTGAACAATACTTTTACTACAGTTATTATAAGGTTGTACTTATTGTTTATTTTATCAATATGATATAGTTTGATTGCATAGAGTTTGGATTGTCGGTAAAAAAAAAGTTACGTAGGTGTAAATATCTCGTACATTTACTTTTTTTTTAGAAAGCAATAGGTTTAAAAATCACCTTGAATATCTGCAGTATTAAAACTATTAAAAAAAAAACAACTTTTTCGTTGAGTTTTAATGTCATGAAATAGCGGTATACTAAGTATCAAGACACTAATGAACGCGGGACATGACATACGACTATTTAAAAATAGATGGGTATAAATATTTGGGCTACGCTAAACGATAAATTGAACACAATTCGAATTAAAATAAGTATATTTTATTAAATAAAATCTAACAAACTTACAAAAACTAACACATAATAAACAATGGAAAGTTGATTTTAGTTATCTAGATTAGTACCTAGTAGCCTTTAAATTTTACTTTACCTTGTAATTTCGCCAGTGTGTCGTAATTAGGTATGTAATTAATTGGAATGATATAAATTAAGAAAACCTCAAAAACTATTTTGAAAAAAATACGGTTAATTTTTTTGCCAAAATGTTATTACGTTACCCATTAATAAATAATTGCATCTACGCTTTGAAACTACTTGTTACGACTTAGAACATTCCTACTTTAATACGCCCTAGAACAAAGAGAGCAATAATGAATAACGAAAAAAGATCAATTTGAATAATGTTACAAATAACAAATAAATTATGACTATATGATTGCGATAGCAGCCCCTTTCGCTGCATCACCCCCTGAAGTAAATTCTAGTGGCAAGCTGTAATAGTGCTCAACAGCTCTCTGCAATACAGCATTTCTAGATAAACCAGAACCATTTCCAACAATTCGTTTTACATTGGCGTTTCGCAATATTTCTTTAGGCATCATGTGATGTAAATTTTGTATCAAGCTATCACAGAGAGATTTAAACACGCTACCCAGTTGGATGTTAGAAAGATCGATATTCTCCACTGAAGCTTTTGCAGTCGGTGCATGTCTTTCTCCTAACAAATGTGGAATTATTTGCATATTCGATGGTTTAGCTTCCAAACCCAAAGCAATTAGTTTTTCCCATACCTTAGACTGAGGAGTAGGAAAACCTAGCTCAAGCATCCATTGTTGAAGCATTTTCACGAAAGTAGCTAAAACATTGCCTCCATTTAGAGACGCAGCTACAACTAAGTGCGTGTTATTAAAATAAGGCAAGTGCTCGACTGTTTTACAGCCTAAATCTGATACGTTATCTACCACGAATGCTAACTGAGCAGACGTTGATATGTTTAGTACTGCATCATCTCTGGTTTCAAGAGTTGCAATAATAGAGCACTGTAAGTCACCCATAGCAACACTTACAGGTGTTCCCTCGGGAATGCCATTCCAAGCGGCGTTCAATTTTCCTGCAATTTCCCCACTTCTACTGATTTTAGGTAGAAGCCCCACTGGAAATTCGACTGATTTTAAAATATCAATGTTCCATTCGTTCTTTTCAGTATTAAAATATCCCCAACTGGCAGCATTTTGATCAGACATTACTGGTACGTCTAAATCGCAAAGCATAGTAACCACAAAATCTTGAACTGTTCCAGAATATTGAAAGTTTTTCAGCTTTTCAGGTTTGTGTTTAAGCATCCATAAGAGAGTTGCGCATCCGTATCCGGAGTAGCAATTTAGACGGGAATCAGGTTTAGGCAATGATTCCAAAAATTCAGGTTTACACCTTGTATCCTGCCAAGTATACAGTGCTGACATGTTTTCTCTAGTTGCTTCAAACCGCATCACAACTCCATCTTTTTCGACCTTTTCCCAGGCGCTGTAAACAAAATAACCAATACAAATTATTTAGAACTGTTGTTTTTTTGTACATACTTAAAATGTAAAATAGTTTTGAACTTGAGACAGACTTATAAACATAAATACTGTATTGTAAAACTTCTTAGATAATAAACTTGATTTTCTTGTTTATGTTTCATGTTACAATATATGCGTTGTAATAAAATCACAGTTTATTAAACTATCAAACACCAAGCGGTCACCGGTGACCGCAACCTATTGTTCTATAATTGTGTCTACAAAACCGGTACTCGACGAGTTAAAAGGGTTACTTGAATTTTAACATATTAATCGTTATAATTAAATTAAATAGAAACAAAGATCTGGCCGCTTAAACAATAATATATAACGATTTTCATTGAGGAAATGCGTAATTCAATGTAAACATACCCTTTCTTCCATAACAAGACTCCATGCATTTGTCCGCACACTCCAATTTTTGTGACACTTCGCAGTACATCTCTCGGAAGACGGGAGATGCAGTAATGAATAGCTGATACTATTTTTGGCACATCTTGTTTGTTACCTTCTATACCCTGATCGCTCGGTATGTTTGCCGCTGTATCCTTATTTTGTTTAGCAACAATTTCTTTTGTTTTTGGGTCGTAGACACAAACTTTTACTGAAGTCGTTCCAATATCCATCCCCAATATAAAACTCTTGTCAGCCATTTTGCACTTAAACGAAATAAAAAGTTGGAAGTTAAAAATCACACACTCGATAAACAGTGAGACGACGCGACTCGTTCGGCAATTTGTTTCTATTGCTCAAACACGGCCGGCAGCCCGCATGAAAAGTGGGTGGCGGGTGGTCTCGTCTGGTGGCAATGCGCCCGCATTGACCTCGTGTAGTCGCGTTGGTTATTACGTAAAAGTAGGTTTGTATTCCTTATCTCTTTGAGTGCTCGATGTGTTTATCAAACACTTCAGCGATTCACTAACTTACGGCTAATAAATAACTCCAGTTGATATTACTTTTACGATAACAGGTACAAATTGTTTTTTTTTGTAAACATTTACACATCCATTCTTTTCTGTATAAATATGTATTTCACTGATTAGGTTAACATTTCCAAATGAAATAGTTTTTCTAAAACAAGACATAATAATGTCGATTAAATATCATTTTACGTACCTATTCTATTATCACTTGTGAAGTCAAAGTTTTAAATTAATGACAACATCACGTCGAACAAGTGATTCAATCTTTTTTACATAGATTTTTGTAACTAATAGCACGATCTTAGGTTGCTCAGACATTTCGTTTGCCAAATCTAAAAAACTTACGCCAGTATTGTAATTAAAAAAATATATAATGTTCTATCACGTTCTGCGGTCATGTGCAAAAAAATTGTTCGTGTAATTATAGATAATTATATATAAACGTTTGCTGTTTTACAACATTGAATAGTAACGTAGCATCGCTCGTCGGAGATAGTACAAATCCGCAAAATCGAGTATTTAATAATTCTGTGTGTCTGATAAATGTAGCCAATCTTGAGTTTTATTTTATGTAGGATCCAGTCTTATGTGATTGGCATCTATTTACACCATGGGTCTTGTTCTTTTCATGGAAATAAAATTGATTCAACGATTGCTGTTTTTTTGTTATCAGGAAAATGGGTAAAAGGAGCAAGTCGTCTAACGTAAACACTAACGCTGCTGATGACGTAGTTGTAAGTAGTAAAAAAATGAAGAATAAAAGAATTAAGTTCGAATCAGCCGACGCAGGTGTACCGATACCTGACGAATCTAATGTGGATCTTGATATTAAACAAGTTAAACGAACAAAGAAAAATAAACCGCACAATAATAAAGGCGATGAGGAAAAGAAAAATAAAAAAATAATATTTAGAGAGGACGATGACGAACCGGTTGAAGTTAATGTACCTACATCGACAAATCAACGGAAACGTACTAAAGAAATTGTTCCTCAAGAGAACGAAGAAGATATTAAAGACGAAGACATTGATAAGTTCTGTGATGAGTTAAATGAAGAGGATAACGAACAGTTTGAAAGTTGGGTTAAATTAATAGAAGCTAAACTTCATTCAAATAAAAAGAAACCTAAATGATAACATGATTTTTTACTTCGAAAGATAACCATTTAAATGCTTATTAGTTATAATAAAAGGCGCATTTAGAAGTTAGAATAATTTTAAAGACGTTGAATAATTCAATTCTTTGGTCTTAATGTGAAAAAGTCTTGAGTTACGTTGCCATCTGGCTTGTGGCAAACAGACGTTTATTTTTCCAACGTGAATAAATTTAACAAAATCTGAAATACAAAGTAACGCCAATCGGTATGTATCATTCGAGTTCTCTTCCAATACTTTGGCCTTCATATAAACTGAATGAAATTAGGAAGCGACCTATTAAAGCTCCCCTTGCTCTGAAGAAGTCTTACGATTCAAGTCGTGACAATTGCAGTTACCGATTTGCCAACCTTGAGAAGTTGTGACTTATTTATTATTTACCATTACATATAATATGATAGTGAAGCTACGTTAAACATAGGATAATATAAGTAAAGATACATAAATTATTTTTGGAATATGGCTATCTGCGTTACCATATAATTATCTAATCTAATTCCATATTCCATAAATCTAATTGAGAGCTAAACCTGTAGGTAAGTGTAAAAATTCATAGCAATTCCAGACTTGAATACTACTAATAAACCAACGACCTTGAATGTCATGTTTGTTTATTTTATGCTAATAGGCAAATTATGAATTACTGCAATGAAGTAAGAAGGTTGATGACCCCTGACACACTCAAATGATTTAATATACCCTTTTTTATTTTTTTTTAAGGGGGAAAATTATCGAATGACTGCTCCCGCCTGGGTGAGGCGGGAGGGACTGTCAGACTCTTACTGACTAAAAACCACCCCGTTCCTTCTCCTGCACGTCGAGTCGGAGCCCCAGTTACCAGTTAGGTTCTCCGCGACATTTAATATACCCTAAACTATTTCTATTAATATTAATTTGTAGAGATTCTATAAATCGAAAATAAATAAATATATCAAGTCATACAAGAAGCAAGTTTAAATACATTTTCAAGTCATTTATTCAATGATATATTTATTTATAACTTACATATTACTAATAATTAACTCTAAAGTACCTGTAATCTTCAATAAAATTATTGAAATGGGGGTATTCTTTCCTAACTCTTAGGTTAAACGTCTGAAATGATTAAGTTTTCAGTGTTATCTTTGGTGATGGTACGCTGACTGATGCTGTGAGAACTGCTGTTCCTAGCTATTCATATTAATAGCCTACATTCGACCAATAGAAAACCTAAGTTGTAAAATCGGTTTATCTCTAAAACCGTTTCATACAGCACTACTATCGTCAATAGCCTTCATCATAATTACCATAGACTGCAAGATAGCTAACCATCAGAATTTTTTTGGTCTAACAACAATTTATCAATTCAATCAGCTGATATAATGGCAAAATGGCAATAACACACATGGCAAATGACATTATATTGTTGACATTTGACTCACTTGACAGCTGACAGAGCCGTGAAATGAACGAGTTGTTTGCAAATCGGAATAATATTTTGTGATTTCTCTCTGAATGTCGGTCATCACCACCGGTGCAAAAATAACGGGATTATGTGCAAACGGTTTTAATGTTTACCTACTTTGATGATGAAGATATCTGACATCTCATTTAGGAAATAGTAAATTAAAATAGTGTAAATTTCGAGTAAAGTTTAAATTTCTAACTATATAAATGGATACCAATAAGAAAAGCGAAGATATGGACATTCCAACTGTAGAAGGCAACCTCCTGCAGCAACCGAAAGAAGAAACAATGCCAACTCGAAATCCGCTAATGAAAGTGCGAACATATGTGCTTGCCTTGCGCCCTTGGTCGTTGAGTGCAAGTTTGTTACCGACTTTGCTGGGGGCTGCGCTGGCCTACCGTCTTCCTGGCGATAGTAGCTTCAGTTGGTGCACTTTATTGTTGACATTGTGCACAATTATTCCTGTTCATGGTGCTGGCAATGTGGTAAACACATACTTTGATTTTGTTAAAGGTATTGACAATCGTAAATCTGACGATCGAACTCTAGTCGACCATATTTTGAGTATAGATGAAGTTGTATCTCTTGGTGCTATATTATACCTTGCTGGATGTGCCTCCTTTGTTCCACTTGTAATTCTATCACCAGCTCGCATGGAGCATTTGGCTCTGGTATACTTTGGAGGATTGTCTTCATCATTTTTATATACTGGTGGTATAGGATTAAAATATATAGCTCTTGGTGATATTTTAGTTTTAGTTATATTTGGACCAGTATCAGTAGTTTTTGCTTTCTTAGCACAAACTGGTAGAGTGGACTGGCCAATAATTTACTATGCAATTCCACTTGCCCTGAACACTGAGGCTATTCTACATAGTAATAATACTAGAGACTTGGAGACAGATAGCAAAGCGGAAATTGTAACATTAGCAATATTGATTGGTAGAACAGCTTCATATTTGTTGTATGCATTTTTATTATTTACTCCTTACATTATGTTTGTGGTAGCTTCTGTGCGCTGTTCATTGTGGTTCTTAATTCCAATGTTAACTTTGCCTAGAGCTTTTGAAATAGAAAGAAGGTTTAGAAGCCCTGAGACAATGAGATATGTACCAAGACAGACTGCCAGACTCAACTTTTATTTTGGCATGCTGTACATGATATCATGTTTGTTTGCTCATCGCCTTCCATTCCTTCTTCGGTAACAAGTTAAGTGTACAAGAACAAAGATTTGAATTGTTGTTATTTGATTTTAGCATAGGACTGACCATTTTTGTAAGTTTCTATAAAAATGTTGTATATTTTTGTATTTTATGTAAAGTAAATTAAGCTGAGGTAAAAATGATATCCTGTCACAAATTAATAGTAGCTTTAGTAAAGTGGTAAAAGCTTGTTAAAGCAGTTGAGTCTTTTCTGCTCTATATTAAATATGTTACATGATGCATTTTTTATACCTTTGTTTCTAATAATTTATGGGATCAAAATAACTGAATTTTACCAAAATGCAATGAAATACATGATAATGTATTTATATGTGCCTTAGCCCTACATTTCTGGTCATTATAAGTTGTTAAGTTTCTGTTACTGTGGATTTAATATTCAAGATCAACATATTTCTAAGTGTAGTTTAGAAAAATAGATAATATGTGCAATGAGGAAACTAATAAATAAATAAATCAACATGGAAAGCAAATTCAATTCTTAATTTTCCTCAAAGAGCGAAAATAGCATAAAGATTTTTTCTTGTGATGGAACATGATAATCATGTAAAATACCTTTGTTCAGTTGTATGAGCGTCATTGTTGCATAAACATGTAAAGGAATAGGTTGGTGACACTGAACTTCCTCTAACAAATATAATAATGGAGTCTGAATTTCAATGAATGTTGTATAGTCAATGAGATATTAATAACACATCTTGCTTTTGTGATCGCTTTAGTTACGTGTACACAATTTTAAAATATCATCTACCTCCTATAATGTCTAAGAATTGATGTTTTCAAAATATCTACATAAATAATGTTGTTTAGTACTTTTGTAATTTGAATACAATGAAATCTCTTGATTGTAAACTGACAATAATTTATTTAATTAGCTAATAAATTTAGTCCAATATAATTGATGTAAAAGTGAATACTAAAATTGTGATGATAAAAACAATGATTTTCATTTATTTATTTTATTGATATAATCAACGTAGGAGACCTCTATGATATATAATCTTCATAATATAATGATAAATTACAAGTCAAATTATCATACAAGTGAGACCATGTAATTTAAAGAAATGGATTTCATTCAGGAATGCCTGATCTAGAAACTACATTGAATATATTGGCAGTGACTGGAGAAATATTAAAAGTTGAAATACATATTACAAACATACTATATTTCAATACAGTGTCTTCATAGTAGTCTACTTGGAACTTATTTACTCACTGAAACATATTATGCTTCAAGTTTGCCTTATCTCCGCGAATTACATCGGCGTGTTCATCATTCAGTAGAACTTTGGCAGGCCGTGATCGATTATAATTATATTATTCGAATTAAGCTACTGATATTATATCGAATACTATTCCCTAATTCTCAAGTGAAAATCCATTTCAAATCATAACTAAAGTTATAAAGGAACAAATCACAATGTATTAAATGATAATACAAAAATCATGTTTGCTAACAAAGACTAACATAATATCACTATAATCAAGTAGAAATCAAATCCATAATATAATTAAATACATTTTTCTAATTTTCATTTTGCACAAAAATAAGAAGTCTTCAACATTCCATACAATTCCTATATGTTTCATATATTTATATCCTAATGTATAACCATTAGTTAAACTAATGCAGGACTAACCAATCTAAATCGAATTACACGCTCACGACGTTACAGAGATTTCCTATAAAATGCAGAAAGATATCCAGCTCAACATGTTCCACATCTAATTATTCTATGTTGTGCTCATGTTGCATAGTCATCAAAATTTGGGGTCGAGACGAAAGCACCTAGCTTACTCCACAAATGTCATGTTTCTTGTATCTTAGATTTAGGCCTTTACAACTACATGTGATGGTAATTTCATTTAAACCTCCTCTCTTAGCCTTCAACGCGCCAATAATACAGATGTTAATTTAAGTTTAATTAGAAATTCATGAAATTACAACAAGTATCGAGACTCACGTGCAATGCGTTAAAGCTAAAAATAGATGCCGACATTAATACTCCGTGACGTTAAAGCTTTAGTCTAGCCATAAAATATAAATTTAGTAGTGGTTAAGATAAAATTTGGTTCTTGTCACAATAGGTAATACTAATAATGGAAGAAATTTTGTGACAATATGAAAATAATGCAATGATTAAATTAACACCTGTATGCAAATTGAAAATGATCCGTTAGGTCGTATACGTTACAACAACGTGGTTCCAACTTCACGAAACATCCGAACAGTTAAACATACATGGAATAATCTCACATTCACGCATACGGACAATAGTCCATCAAAGGCGGAAAAATCCGTCCGGTAGTCTTTATATATGGGTTACGTTATATACATCAGACTTTAATGTTGGCCTCGCTTATGACGTCGACGCTTTCTTGTCGCGCTGCCATTGGTCGATCCTCTCTTTGAGCTCAGTTGCTGAAAAATTCAAACAAAGATTAGCCATATGCAAAGATTAAATACATTTGTTGTGCTAGTAAATCAATGTAAAACGTACCTGGACGTAGCTGATCCTCGGAAAGAGGTTGTCGGTTAAAAGGATCAGTGGCACTATTTAGCAAGTGGCGCAGAATCACAGATCGGTCCATTATCTGAAATTTTGACAATGATCGTAAAGTTAGCTAAATAAATTCAAATATGCGATTAAAAGTTAATGCAGAAGATGTGTTTGGTACTTACTTTTCCGGAAGGTAGTAAGACTGGGTCGGTCATTAGTGTATCCATGAGTGGGTCCCTGAACTCTTCAGGAGCATCAGCATATTCGTCGCTTTTCTGTTGATTAGACACTGGAACGAAAATAAATTACGATGAAATAAAACGTTGATTATTGACATTCGAAGTAGCACAACTATACGGATATTAGGGCCGATTTACCAAGGCTTATAAAACTGATTTCCATACAAAAAACGTGTTACTTATAGACAGACAACAAATGCAATGTGGTAATTACCTGCGATTTGATATGCATTATCAGCAAGTGCCTTGAACCGCTCTATTTCTGTGGGCGTCTTAATGCACGACTTAGCTAGCCTCACAGATGCTTCCTCGAACAACTCTTTGCGGAATGATCTCTGGAAATGGAATATTATGTTATTTTAATATGTGAATTAAGGACAACAATGTATTTTTTTTGTGTAATAAGTATCGTACAGCATATGTACACAAATTTGAAGATGTCCGAGTCGTTTAGGGTCACACAGGAACCCATAATCAGCAGCGTATCTGATGGTGACGAGCGAAGTGGTAAACAAGAGTAAGTGGTGTAGATATAACTAAATTGAATTTTTAGTATGTTACCTCATCAGCGGCAAGTGCGGCGTGGAACTGCGGTGAGTCAAGATGTAGATAGATGTCTACCAGTTGACTGAGTAGTCGTCGCGGTTCCCAGCCATATTTCTCAGGTCGACGGACCTGTGAATAGAAATTATAAACTTTGTAGTAAATGGTGGCCTAAGAGAGATAGTCATCATCATAAATTTATCGCTTTTGTCTTTAGAATGGAAACAAAAACGTCGAATTTCAGTGTTGGTGGACATAAATAACTGGGTCAATATTAAGTTTATTTACCTTGAGGTTTTTACACTTAGGTCCGCAGAGTTGTTGTAGGTTGAAGTTCAACATCGATGCGAGCCGGTCGACTAGCTCGGCGCGCAGGAATGGCTCCTTGATCTCCACTGTCAAGTACTCCAACATGTCCACCGTTTCTCTGTATCAAGAACCATTATAATTACGTATTTCACATATTAGACTATACACAAAGTCCAACGCCATAAGTCATAAACTACAAAACTACTGGACAGATTTTAAAGCGATGTTTAGCGTGAAAAGAAATTCCTGGTTTAAATATAATAATTCATATAAGATAGTATCGCAAATGATACTAAGAAAAGCCGGATAGCGGAAAGCCAATGATATAATTTAATAAGTATAAATTTCAGTATGTTATCCGACCTGGCGAGTGTGAGATATGAGCGACACTGCCTCTCGTCCTGCGCGAGTGCGCGTGCGCGGGCGTCGGCCGCGGACCCGCTCGCGCCGCCCGCGCCCTCCTGCGCCTCGTGGATACGCTTCAGGTACTGCGAAAATAACAATAAGTGTTTATAATCATTTCAATAGTCTTCTAATAGGGTTTTCAAATACGATACAGGCAGACAGTCTCACCAGAGTACTACACAGAAAATGTACTGCACAAACTCAAGTGCATGAGACATATTATAAACACTTACTGTTAGACACTCATCCAGGAGGAATGTAGTATCGTTCATTAACATGTTGATGAATTTGACAAACTGATGTCCAGATCGCGACTCCTTTACGATAGCCTAAAACGACAAGACGTGGCATTAGTTGAGAAGCCTTAAGTGTAAACAACATCTGTACATATTATTATGTACAGTTGAAAGCAAGACATATTGTGCCTACCGTGGTGCGTTTCACTCACTTGTTTATGAATAGGCCGCTCCCACATTCCCTTCAAGATGATGCTGATATGGAACCGAATAGTGAACTTATCGTAAAACTCGGTGCTTTGTCCTGTAGTTTCTATATCCGTGTAGAATTTCATGAGAGCACTCGGTAGCGCAGTTTGCGACATCGGGTGGTCCATGAATTTCTCGTATACATTCTTCAGTTTTAGTGGCACGGAGAGGTTGATGACGAATAGGACTTCTACGATCTTAGCAACAAGATAAGGGTTCTTGAAGTGGCGCGAGTGACAGATTGCACTCAGTAGCCAAGTGATGATTGGGTCCTCGATGAAATCCGCCACTATTTGTGGGACGTATCTGAAATTTGATAAGAATTAATTAGCATAAAAAGAAAATACCTTTTTTTCTTTATTGTATATACGGTACGATATCCTAATTGTAATGATGTTTGTATATATGTCTACTAATGAAATACAAGCCAAAATGTAGTTAATTACTGTGCTAAAAATAATGCATCATCTATTGATGGCCTAACTAAGGTTCCGAAACTCATGTCATGCTTATTAGGGAGTGGGATTTTATTTAACAACAGACGTCTTGGGTATTATAACAGTATAATGGTACTCACTGCACAGCGAAGAGCATGAACTCAGCGATGTCCTCGACGTACCACTCCGGCGTGGCGGCAAATGCGTCGGCGTACGGTCCGATGGCCGCGTCCGCCGCCTCCAGCTGCATGGTGAGCAGCGAGCATACTGACGAGTAGAACTGTAGACTGCGCCGCATCAACTCTGTCTCTAGCAGGGCCGTCTCCGCACACTGCTTCGACCTGACGAATATCTCATCATCTACAGGACAACGCATAGCAGCTCACCTAGTTCCACACTTATAATAGGTAACCTATTCGCTATACATAATGTATAACATAAGTTAAGTTAGGTACTCCTAAGTTAGGAGTCATTACCATGAGTTAAAGGTTACTTAGGAGTCCTAAGTAACCTTTTTGGAAAACAGAGTCTAGCAAGGAGAGAGACCACCATGAAACGTGATGTTCAGTCTAGAGCCTTTTGTCACTGGAGGAATCAAGTTGTACAATTTCGCTACATACCAAATAATAAATAGGAATATAGTAGAACTGAGATTTACATCATCAACATCGTCATTAATCTGTATTTTACCTGTGTAGTCTCTTGATCTGTCGTCGCCACCTCCGCAGCAGTTCTCGGTTGCGCAGCGCTGAGAAACTGTTGCGCCACTGAGGCTCGGCCGCCATCAACTCTTCAATCACTTTTTGGAGATCACGGAATGCCCTGTAGAAAAACAAATACAAATTATATGAATGTTCGTAAACAATAAAATATTGTTGTATTATAGCAATCAAACAAAGGTTTCGATTAAAAAAATAACTATATTCTTTCGAAGATTTTCAACTTTATTAACACGGAAATAAGATTGAAAATATAACACTAGTTAGTTTCACGTCTGCAATTATCTTTATTTAATTGTACGCTCACCGAATTCGCCTCTGGTGCGTGTGTAAAGCAGGGATCAAAGCCACATGGTGCATATGAAGCGTTAAGAACCAGCACACCGTCTGGAACTTCGCTTCAGGCCACTTATGGTTAGGATCCTTGTCTGTAAGGGAAATGGTTCTTGTAAACAAACATACATACATTCATAAACAAATGTTACAAAAAAGAGATAATTTAGATCTCCTGAGTAGATAATAAATAAAATAAAATAGATGAAGGATTTTCACTGCCAATTACCAAAATGTCCAGACGTTTAAAGTTAAGGCACGTCCGATGCGAGAATTGAACCCATGACAAGTTTCAGATCAGTTAGTTTCTCGGCTATTGCGCCTATCTTACAGTTAGTTGGGTACTTGAGTATGTATATAAAAATAGAAAATCTCACGATATACAATAGAATTAAGAGTTAAAGGCATTTAATTGTTACCATGAACTTGGTTCTAGATACAACTGTTCATTAAAACTAAATTGACTTGATGATGTGTTTTCAAGTCAAATTGAGGGTCAATGAGCTTATTCATAGGTCATTACATTATGTTTCATGTACACTGCGTTGTAAGGATAATTTAATGTGTAACATATTGTATATTAGCTATACCATTAATTACTATAATATACACGTTAATTGGCATGTCTTTGGATTCCATTCATTAAATTGCCAGTGCTGAGTATGAGGTAATGAAGCCACAGAGTTTGATATTAGGATCGGTATTAATAATAGATGTCTGATGTTGTCACTGAATTTTTTTTAGGATTTAGTTAACATTTAACAATATGCCTGCGTTTTGGATTGGATCATTCTGATTCATAATATAACTGGTGAAAATTAAGTTATTCATAATCATAACCTTCCCTTGAATAATAATGGGAACCATTTCCTACTTATTTTACTTTAACTAAGTTAGTATTTTATCATTGTCAACCCATTTAATAATCATCCATCCATGTATTAGGCATAATCACTTCAATATCAATGTATTCAAAATATCAATGGAATTAATTTAATAATAAGGTTCACTTACTTAGTGCGTCTAACCAATCCTGGGATTCCTGTGTAGTGAAGTACAGCCTGGTCTCGTCTCGGATGTTGACCCAGGAGTCTGGCTGGAACGTGTACAGCGGGTACACGCGCTCCAGTTTGATGCGCACGGACAACAGTTGCAGTACTGAACATACGTTCAGCATGAACCCATCTCCTATAAGTGTTTTGTAACGTTAATTTGTATATTCATTATTTTTCTGTTGATGTCTTAAAACTAGAATACTAAGGACTAAATATTTTTGACGAAAATCGGTTAGCAGTAGCAGTGCACTTATAACATTAACCTTTTGATCAGCGATCTCCAAATTGCTGTCCGAGTATAACGGATTTGGCGATCCTTCTTACAAAAAAAGGCGTCTACGTACTACATCACCGGCAGTAAATCCTAAATCCTAAAGTTCATTAAAACAAACTACTTTATAGGACATAGTTACTGCAGTGAATATTATTATGACTGCAATACAATACTACTTAATTACGTTATATTTTACGTACACAATTTTTTGTGCACTCTGTCTGTTTTTAAATGTATTATTATACCAACCAAACCAAATTCAGAATGCGAAAGTGCTTAAAGTGAGTATAAACTATTTAAATACAAGGCAATCTAATAAGGTAGACTTGAAGCAAAACAATCATTATGATATAGCAGTCGGCAGTCGTATAGGTACTAGTTACTTTAACATACATAGCTGCATTTGCAAATACAAATTGAAACCAAGATTGAATTTATGTTTACAGAATTATAAGAACTCGAGTAAAAATAGCAATGATTGGCAGTATTCATCTTTCCCCTGTATTTTGTTTATGTTGTATTTCAGAAGTGTTGGGGAAACAAACACGGAAGCTATGTCTTTAAAATGAAATAATGTTTACTGGAATGTATCGTTGATTGCTAAGTGTTGTGTCGAGCCAACAAAATCTCGCAAATCACTGATACAGACACGTAGTAATAACACCTATCTGCGACGCTGTGTTCACGAACAAATTTGTTTGTCGCAGCCACCTGACGAACGTTACAAACATAAATATTTACAGTAAACCGTCAACAAGTAGCGATTAACGTTTTGATCCGAATCTTGGAAAATAAATTATTTGGAAGAGTGCCAATACAAATTCGTCTAATAGACAAGTCTAGTGAGCGACATTTGAACGAAATATGTACCTAGCCAGTCTATTTTCGCAAGTCATTACTCGAAGGGAGCAACTACGCGCGATTCAATATATTATAGCTGTTCTGATAAACTTGCAGTAATGTCTTTATCAATTAGTTATACGGAGACCGAGCCGGGCACATCGTACCAACGCGGTCTTGCCAGATATTTATAAATAAGAGAACAAAAGCAATTTTAAACATGAAACGTGTTTGTAGTTGATGTACCAAAATACACGATTCTGCGCAGCCATAAAGGAAAATCTGCACAACATGCTCCAATTTGTTTGGAACGTCTTCTTCGTCTTATTTATTGAGAGGCAGTCAAACGATTTGAGCAACGTATTTACTGTTTGCTTCTAAATAATTTGAACTAATCAGTTTGTAAACTCATTGCATTGTTTCAACGAGTGTTTTGTTGTGCTCATCACCATTCTTACAAGATGAAAATTTTGTTTATTATACAAGACAAAGATTTCTATTAGAACAATGGTGACATTACATACTAATTTTATATTAGGGTTAAAACATTAAACATAGTTTTAAAACTTCTTGAAGTATGGTTCTTTGAATTTTAAATTCGGCTGTATGAGTACGAAAATAAAAAAGATAATAAAGCAGAGGTAACTGACCGGCCAGTGATCTCTCGTCAGTCTGCAACTGCGCTCTGCGGTCATTTCTCTGCAGCAGAGCAGCGAAGTAGTTGAGTAACGGCTCGCGAGCCTCCGGGCACAGCAGGATGTTGTGGCAGATGTTGTGCAACGTGTTGCGGCTCGCCTCCACCTCGCGCTGCAACGCGAACGCCAGGCTGCGGTCGCCCGACCCCGTCGCGAACAGGCGCTCCGCTAGTCGCGGGTTCTCTTCCGCGAACAGGGATATCTGCGGAGGTTTATTTACATTGATATATGTGTCTCTCGATGTAATTCCTGGGAAATTCAAATAGTAGATAGTTATAGTTACCGCAAAGAATGGTCCGAGGAAGCTGACGCGGGCGATCTCTCGTCCTGCAGCAGTGGTGACGGCGTCGGGACAGAGAGAGGGCAGGCGCGCGATGAGCTCGGCGAGCGGGCGGCGCGAGTGGCGCGGGCCGGCGCGCAGCTCGCACAGCGCCCGCAGCGCGCGCAGGGCGCCGCCGCCGCCGCACGCGCCGCGCCCGCCCAGCGGGGACACTGCGCGCCGCATCTCCTCGCGGATACCCATCACGAGCGGCACGAACACCTGCACCGACACATTCCTACATCTCATCTCATCCCACCATTCTAGAAGAACAGCTTCATCGGTCTACGTCGCTTGCATGAGGAAGTAGTCATTTAAAATATTGAAATAAAACCGAAATAGACAATTGTCATAGGTCTGATAGGTTACAATGATGAATGCACTCACCTCTTCGAAAACTTCCTTATTTGTGTAAGTTGCAAGTAAAAGTTCCGGTATGAGACCCGTCGGCGGGGACACCACTAGCATGTATGGAAGTAGAGGAGACTTCCTGCACTTTTCTAATTCAAAGTTTCCCTGCAGCACTAGCACTAAGTGGTTCACTAGTAATGTTCTTAAACTTTGGAGCAAGTCGCTCAATGGCGGCTCCGAGCTCTTCTTGGAGTATTCACGTTCATACGAATTAATATTCGAGTAGAATCTTATAATGTAGCTGACAGCAAGGCCCTGCGTGGGTATTGTCTTGGGTAGGGGTAGCGACGGAGCAGGGCAGTCCGCTTTGTCAGCTTCCGTCTCTGAACCAATTGGTCCACAAGTCAACATATCGTCTCCGCATTCGTCACTAGGCCTTTTAGTAGTTTCAGTGATAGCGATGAGTTTCTGGTTTAGAGGGTCTGAGCCGTCCGCTATTTGCGTAATAACATCAATCAGAGCCTCTGAAGCCAGTTCTTCTAAACTTAATTTTGGGTTATCTAGAAGTGATGCTGCTACAGACGGTACAAATATTCCTCCTGCAACAAATGGATTCATGAAAAATTATCTGATAACGATCTTTGAGAAAAATTGTTATTATTATTATCGTCTCTACCGATAAAGAAACAATGGGAGGTGAAAGCTCCATCTATCATCCTTCTAAATAAACTTCTACTTTACCGACAGAAATGTGCAGCAAAATAAATAAAGAAACCTTATTTCTTTATATATTATTACAAAATGGAAATATTATAATAAAGAATAGTTTCTAGGTTAGGAATATACCATAAAAGTATTAAAAATAATTCTCTCCTTTAAATAAAATACCGGAAGGAATTTATGTGTAAGGCCACAAAACCGCGATAGCCTTCACTCGTTAAGTATTGATAAAATAGGTCTTATTTTATGTCTTTAACGATTGCTTTTAGCTCTCCTATATCCTGGAAACTGTTTAATTTTTTCCAATAAAACAAATAGAGAATTCCCATGTGTACTTACACGGTACTAGCACCTACTTAAATTAAAATAAGACAGTAAATAAAGAAGGACGAAAAGAATCCAAAAAAATACCCTCAATTAAATACTTATCATTATGGATGATGATCTTTACAGTTAGTTATAAAAGTAAATGTGTGACAAACCTGCACTGTCTTCAGACCACGACACCTGTAGGATCTTGGCGACAATATTCCGGAGTTGCTCCTCAGTCAGTTCAGTACAGCTCACTGTACGCGACCGGTGTATCTTTCGGGCTGGGGACGCTGTCTGGGTGTCATTGTCGTCCACCTAACACATAGTAATAAATGTCTCTTTAAATATTACGTACATTTTTCTAAATTCTGGTCTTTAAAGGCTGAGGAGGCCTCCATTACAGCGATTGCTGTGTTGTTATGAGTTGTGATTCACAACAAACGAAATGTGTTTTATAGGTAATAAATGTGCTGAGTATATTAAACATCACACATATGGCAATCCCTACACACATTGTCATGGGTAGTCTGAAAATCCAAGAGACTAACAAAAACTGTTTTTCATTTTTGTTGTTGATATTACAGTGAGTCTAGTCACAATACTGCATATCAGATTAGAAATTTTGAGTAACTATGAACAATAAAATCAGAAAGATTTATTTAAAAACATAAAATAGAATAGGCATTCCTGAGGCCAAAGAAAGTGAAGTCTAGCTTTTATTCTTTAGCAACATAACCAGCCAATAAGGAACACTTGTTGGGGGTCTATGTAAGCTAGGAATCTACTAAATTAACTACAAAAATACAGTGTGACACTGGACATTAGTACTCAGATTTAGTTGATGTGTTTTTAGCATTAACACTACTACCTAATTAAACTTAATACCAGTGATAGTATTGGTATTGGAGAGTTTGTCCATTGAAATTAACATAATAGATAATAAAATTATTGTCCTGCTACCTTAATGATCTTGTGTAACTAACACTTAACTCGTTGAGTACCGTCATTATATACACAAATAAAGAACAATAGGTTGCGGTCACTGGTGACCGTGCAGTGTTTGACAGTTTAATTACCAATTTTATTTACATTAGGTGGTAAACTGATTTTTTATATATCCTCCTTTATTTTTATGTTTATATATTTTTTACAAATAAGATGACAGCTTTATGATGTTATTGGAATTACTAATTTTATAAACTAAGAATAAACATAGCCAACCACTGAGTCTGAGGAAATTCAGGATGAGAATAATCACACACACAATTTAGTCAATCACAATTGAGATTATTATAATTATTTATAATTATGTTCATACACAATTTAGAACATATTATATTTTTAGAGACAACAGAATTAACACGATGATCATGTAGAGACAACAAATTAGTAATACAGGTAGTTGGAAAAAATGTGACTATTACTTCAATCTTTAACACACTGTAGTTACAAGTAAAACTAATTGCAAATTGTAGTATTATGTAAGCTACTAACCTCCATAGGTTCCTCTTGTTTCTCTGATTGTGAATTTCGTTCTGACACATCATCCACTTCCATAGAGAGAGACCGTCGAGAGCAACTAGGTGAGGCATTACTGGGCCGAGGCCTTACTGGTGATGGCTCCACAAACTGTGCTGGAGATATTGATCGTGATGTGCTGTCTTCCCTGGTTGAAGCTCCCTCTGATCCACCCACTGTAGACTGTGGTAAACTAGCCACTCTCACTGATCCACAACTCAATAATGTATCATCACCCATGGAGTCAAAACTATTGTACTGTCTTGTTTGTGATAGGTCTGTCATTTTGGTATCAGGCATTTCATCTAACAGATTATTGTCTGTTTTCTCAGTAACAATTAACCCATCAGCTGGTATTTTGCTCTGGTCATCCACTTCACTTTTAACTCCTTCTGAATAGTTTGGTTCTTTGTTTGTGTTGGCCACATCTGGGGTAGAGGGTTCTGTGGATCCTCGAGGAACTGGCGCAGGGGAAAAGCGCACTTGTGAGGAGGTCTGTAGATCTGGCGAGGGCATCGATGCGCCTGGTGTGACTGGAGGGCTGGCGGGCGATGGCGCTGAGCCTGCACCACCAAGGGCAGCGAGACGCGCCAGGCGCCGTCTCCGTATCTGTAAGAAAACGACATGAGGTCCTGCAGCACATGTGACAACCTTCTGCGCGCGCCAACGTCAAACACCAACGCTTTGTTTTGTTACGAAATTAGATTGGCCATACGCATTATGCCAAGGTTCGTTTACAAAACAAATTTTCTACTTACCTCCTCCTGACTCAGCTCACTCATGATTGAAAAATACTATTCTGTAGGTTGAGTAACAACTATCGAAACCACTATTCCTTTGAATTTAGTTTTAAAAATTTGGATAAGAAAGAAGAGCAAGCCACACAACGACGAGTCAGTCACCTCGCTCAGCTGTTTGACGTTTGTAGTTGGTACAATGACGAGAAAGTATTGAAAATACACGCGTCATCCTAGCCCGAACTCAAACCCCAACAAAAGCTTGATATTATCGATCTCTTTCATTCATTCATTGTTTCTTTAAGAGTGAAAGAGATGGCGTTTGATATAGGTATAAAATAATATCTATATGTCCAATATTATGTAAACCACCTAGAGCGTTGTTTAGTATTTAAAAATATTTTTGGTTTTATATGAATAAAATTAACAAATAATTTTCATCAATGAATTTATACCAATACATTTCAGAAAAAAATAAATGTTATTTTCCAATAGTATTTTCTGCTGAAGGAATAAACAAAATTTTAAGATCAGAGATAATTTCGTTCAACAATGAACTAAGTGACTCATTGACAATGTTTTAATAACCATTTATTTATCATTTTGCTTATCATCAAAATTAAAGTTTTACAGATTTCAGAAATAATAAAACAGATTAATTCGTGTTTCAGTACAATATTACTTATTTAAAAAAAAATTGAATTGTGTTTGTAACTGCAGCGTATGCTTGTTTTTTGTATTTTAGAACGAAGGGTTTGTGGTCAATGGCCGCATGTATTGTTAATTTGTTTACGTTTAGATTGTTATAAATTTGCTGAAATACTATATTCATGATTAAATGAATTGCTTATATAAACGTAAATTTATTCTAATCATTAAGTTAAATGTTTATGGTGTAAGGAGCTATACATAAATTCGACAATGTGAAGTGCATTTGTTTGTCAATAATGTAATTTGTTTTAAGATCGGATTATCGAGTAATTGGTCGGTGTATTAAAATTGTGACTACTGTATATTTAATAAAATGACGAGTTTCCAAGTGTCCGATTTAGTGGCGGGGCTGAAGTCACGTCATGCCGAGACAAGACATAAAGCCATTCGAGAATTGTTACACTTTACCAAAACAGACCTTCGGGAGATGTCCCAGGAGGCTTTAACTCAAGTACTCGATGACTTCAACCAACAAATACATGCGCTCACCTCCAGCTACGACAACAACGAAAAGAAAGCAGGAATCTTAACCATAGGTATGTATATTTTAGGTTATATTATTATGATTCACAAAATAAATCATCCTTATGTATGGGGATATTACAATTCTATCCTTGTTTTATTTATATGATTATTAGGTCAACTGCTACAAATACTTCAAATTTATAAGCCATCACTTGAGTATTATTTTGTTATTGATGTTGAATATTCATTGCAGTCTGTTTAATTGGTGGGGACACTGAAACAACAAAATCTAGAAATATTCGCTATGCATACTACCTCAGAAATGTCTTCCCAACAACTGATCTAAATGTCTTGGAACTGGGAGCTAAGACTATGGGTAGACTTGCAATCACTCTTGGTATAAAGAGAGGGGAGTATGTGGAGTCTGAACTCAAGAGGGCTTATGAGTGGCTAGCAGAAGAAAGAAATGAAGGGAAAAGACTTTCGGCTGTGATGATTCTAAGAGAGTTGGCAATCTCTATGCCATCTTACTTCTTTCAACATGTCAATGGCTTCTTTAACTACATCATGATACCCTTACGGGATCCTAAAGAACAGATCAGGGATGCTGCGGCAAAGGCACTGAGAGCAGCCTTAGTAGTAACTTCTCAAAGAGAGATACCTGAGCAAAGTAACAAAGCTCATTGGTACATACAGTGCTATGAGCAGTCCATGTTATCATTTGCTGAGCAGCCAGGAAGAGAGAGAGGATTGAGTAGAGATGACCATGTTCATGGAGCGCTGTTAATATTAAATGAACTACTGAGATGTTCCAATGCCACATGGGAAAAGAAATACACATCACTAATGCAGAAACTTGATTCAGAGCAAGACCCATCTGATGATATGACTTCACTGGGTTCAAAAGTACAAAGTTCCTGGACAGCCTTTCCTGATGAGAAAAATCAAAATACTCTTGTTTATGAATCAAGCATTTGTAAAAAACTGATTGCAGAACATTATGAGAAGATATGTTTAGGTAAGTACATTTCTACACTGGTCAATTCCCATGCAGTCACCGGACCACTCTCTACTAAATCCATTATACTACCAAAAGTAGTCTTTAGACATGGAAAATAAGGTCTTTATTTCCCATGTCTAAAGACTACTTTTTTCATAATCTGACATTCACAAGTATTATGCTTATATTTTTGATTTTACATCACTACGTAAATTGTTATTGTCATCTTCTGTAACATGTACATGTAGAGTACTATGCTAATCAAATTTTCTTTTTATTAACAGATGTGATGGCCCAACAAATATCAAGAGCACATAATGTTCATCAAATGCTTCTCCTAATGATACCAAGACTAGCTGCATTCAACAGAGAAGCATATGCTAAGAGGCACCTCAAGTCCACTATAAACCATTTAATAACTTTCTTACGTGGACGAGAAAAAGAGAAAGCCATGGCATTCACCACATTAGGCCTTATTTGTGTAGCAGTAGAGTCAGATGTCCAACAGTATTTGGGTAGAATAATAGAGATTATAAAATTAACTTTACCCCTTAAAGATACTCCAAAAAAGCGCAATGGGTCTGACACGCCATTATTTAATTGTGTTACGTTATTAGGGTTTGCTATGAAAGAAGATGTTGCCAATGAAGTTAAAGAGCTGCTGGACCCTATGTGCGCAACAGGCTTAAGTTCACAACTCACTACATGTTTCAAAGAACTCAGCCAAAATCTACCATCTCTAAAGAAAGAAATCACCGATAGACTTCTCAACATGTTGTCATTGATATTACGAAAGAAGCCATATGCTGCAAGTAATGGAGAAAATCAAATAGTTCAAATGTTCACGACAGCAATGTTGGTGGAGCCGCATGACGCTTCCAAATTAGTTCTAGCGTTACGTACGCTAGGCTCGTTTGACTTCGAATGGAACAATACACTGATGTCATTTATTAGAAGATGTACTGATCATTATCTCTTGAGCGAACAACATGATATTAGAATAGAAGCTGTAAAAACTGCGTCTAAGTTGTTAATAAAAGCAGTCGAGAGATGCGCGCAGACTAATTCGCGGACTTTGACCGTTTTAGTTGATGAGTCGCTCGGTAAATTATTGTCAGTGGGTCGCTCTGACTTCGACCATGAAGTTCGCTACAGAGTCCTGGAAATATTCACCAATCCTATATTCGATAGATATCTAGCTGTAGAAGAACATCTGAACTGCCTTTTTGTGGCAATTAATGATTCAAATAATGATGTTAGTGAATTAGCGTTGTGCTTGGTTGGGAGACTGAGTAACATAAACCCTAGTTACACTATACCGACACTACGCCAGCTCTTTGTACAAGTACTCATGGAACTGCAGCATTCAGAATCGACTCGTAATAAAGAACAGGCACTTCGGATGGTTAACAACATCATTTCACATGCGCCGAGGATTACACGACAATTTGTAGACACCATACTCGATGTTTTAGTTCCAAAATTAAAAGCAGAATCGGACAATCCTACAATGGTTTCAACAATATTGAAGGCTATAGGCGATTTAGCAGAAGTTAATGGTGGAGGTAATGCTCTTAATAGATGGTTGCCAGAACTCATGTCGATTCAGATTGATATCCTTTCGGATCCTAATCAACTTGAAAAAAGAAGTGTAGCACTCTGGTCTTTCGGCCAAGTAGTTGGCGCGACAGGTCATGTTGTTACTCCCTATATGGAATACCCGCATCTAATGGACATGTTGCTGAATTTTTTGAGGACAGAACAACAGCCAAGGGAGAGAAGGGAAACAATACGCGTATTAGGTTTGCTGGGAGCGCTTGATCCATACAAACACAAAGTAAACCAGGGCTTAATTGACTTTCAAACGGTATCTACTTTGATTCCTGTTTCTGACTCCACTTCCGAAAACATCGACGCAAATGTCAGTGAAATGGTGGTGAACATGTCACCGCTTATTCTGGATGAGTTCTACCCGGCCATTGTTCTCACGTCTCTGATGAGAATGCTCCGCGACCCGATGTTGACACAACACCACACGAGCGTTGTGCATTCAGTCACATTCATTTTTCAATCTCTAGGCATCAAATGCGTGCCCTACATATCACGAGTGACGCCAAGTCTTCTTAACGTGATACGAACTACTGACAACAGCACCTTTAGAGAGTTTCTCTTGACGCAGTTGGCACAACTTATATCTGTTGTTAAAATACAGATTCGGAATTATTTAGAAGATATATTTGACATAATCAAGGAGTACTGGACACCAAATAGTCAACTGCAGCCAACTCTGATAATGCTAGTGGAACACATAACGGTCGCCATCGGACCGGAGTTTAAGGTGTATCTGCGGAAAATTTTGCCAAATATTCTCCGCGTACTAAAGTACGACAATAGTAAGGATAAAGTTCTCACTGAGAAGCTATTACTGACTATACAAAAGTTTGAAAATAATTTAGACGATGTACTGTTGTCGATAGTACCCGCTGTGACTGCACTATTTGATGGCAGAAATATTCCTTTGTCAATATCAAAGCTTGCTATGGAGACTATTGAACACTTGTCGATGTATTTGTACTTCAGGCCGTACTCGGCGGTTATTATACAGGCCCTCGCCAAAGTTTTGGACAACAATCCATCTTTACGACAAACCGCCATGAATACACTTTGCGCGCTGATTGTACAACTGGGACGTGAATACATTGACTACATACCGTCTGTGGACAGAATATTGATGAAACATAAAATACAATGCCCCAACTACATCGTACTGGTGACGAGGTTGCAAGCTATATCCACCTTAGCTTCTGATGATGATTACTTAGATGAGACTCGACTTCGACTGCGGAATCAAAAGACTGATGTAAGTACTGTGTACTAAAGTACAAAAGTTATTCAAGTACTTTCGAAGAAGAACTTGTTACTAAACGCAATTTATTTTTCAGGTCGTAGGCCCTGGTGACACTCAGACCATACAGAAATTATCATTAAACGTGTCTAACTTACGTAAATGTTGGTCTATAAAAAACATAGTGTCCAAAGAAGACTGGATGGAATGGCTGA